CTGAAATAAGTCTGTTGTCAGAAGATCGCACAACTTGAAATTCTGAGTAACAACATGTTTTAGGTTCTGTTTTAATATTTCTATTACAGATATTAGGTATATGGTATGGAATAGCATCAGTTGATTATGGTATACATTCATCACATCCTAATGATGGTTTTATAATCCGTATTGCTAGATTAACAGGATTATCATTTAAAATTCACAGACAACAGGATAGGTATGATACTTTCTAATAAAACACTACCCTCAATTTATAGTCTAGTTTCATTAGATATACTATTATTTAGAATATAGTATCCGGAATTAATTTGTTTGTGTTTAAACTAGCCAAATCTGCGAAATCAAATCATCTTTTCAATGCACTCTTTTAGACTGAATTAGAAAACCAGCTTTAAATTTTGAAATATTTAACGTAGTCTTGGGATTGAACACAAATGTTGATTTAAGCCATCATTGCTCAAAATTTAGTCAGCACTTGGCAATACTTTAGCTCCAAGGTAGTATATTTAGAATGGTGATTTTAAGTCTGTCAGACACAGGGATAAAAAAAACAGTTCAGAAGGCCAAGGCAGAACTGAAGAACATCAGTGTACAATCCTATTGAATACAACCTTAATTTAAATAATACCAAAAAGAAATAAGTACAGTGTTCTCTGACATCTGACTATTCCAACATTCAGTGTAATCTGGTCCTGATGACTACCGGTAACAGTGGTAGTAGACAAACCTGTACTGATAAGATTTTGTTCATATGTTTGTATATATATTCCACATAGAAATGGAACATGTCAAGTTATAAGTGATGTGATAGCTAAACCTGTGTGTTCTAGTTCTACCACAGGAGACTATGTTTCTACAACTGGTTCTAGTATAATGACACAATGGAGTAAGTATAACTTATCTTAGAGGATCAGCATGTCTGAAGATCAAGGTAAAATCCATCAGCAGATATGGTGAATTTTTTTAACCTTATCAGTTGGAGCAACTGTCTTTGCATATATTGTATGGTATAGAACCAATTTAAATAATTTAAATCGTGAGAATGCTCTCTGAAATAAATAATAATAACTTTTCTTGACCATATTTTACAGGGATAACAACCTAGGTTCATGAGGTTCCTTATTACCAGCTGCAGCTGGTCCTTGGCTAAACCTTATAAGCATTAATCTTTCCTGGATTATCCATACCCATTTACAGCTGTATCAACACAAAATTACTGGTGCAGTTTGAAGTAAAAAATAATTTGTAATGCTTGTTTTGTAGCTGTATTAAAGATACTGTATGTAGATGATTCAGCCATGTTGTTATATTGGTGTCAACAAGAAATGGATGATGGTACATGTAATATAGAAGGTGTTCGTGTGGATCTGTTGAGTCGTACACCAAAGTTAGATTATATCATACCAGTACAAACACCACTAGAATCAGTGTGTCTGCAACATAAACATCTGATCAATGTTGATTCATCTGCTCAATCTGCTTGTCATCCTGAAACACTACCTCCACCTCCATCACCACCACCAATCATGCCAATCTCATCCTGTGCTGTTGATCTTCTGCCTAAAACTGATATCAATATGACAAAGGTAAGGTCTCACAAGGAGGTTGGTTTCAGCAATACTTGAAATTTTTTTTTCATTTTTCTTCAAGTTTATACAAATTAAAACAATTTGCCAGATTTTCTGTTTTTCGACTACATCAAACTTTTCATTTGACAAAAAAAATAACCAGAATTTTCCAATTATTTGTTCATGTTTTGAGTGTCTCCAATACAACCATCCTCTATTTCATATAGGTAGACCTACAGTTCAACCATAAACACAATATCCCTCTAAGTCACCATGAGATTCTTATTGCTTAATGTAATCTGTGAATAATAAACGACATATTTTCTATTCTATTACAGATGGCTGGTTATTGGTATGAAATAGCCAGTCAGAAACCGGAGCCATTATTTCCTCTCACCAATCTAGTCTTATATTATCATCCTTTAGAGAGTGAACATATTAAAATGATCTTCAGTGGTAAAACGTTAGTATATCATTATTATATATCACATTATCAAACTGCTTAGATGATCCTATTGTCTAGTGTGTATGAGGGGTTAAAAGCCAACACCAGACTGACTCTCAGAAGCACTGGCACAGGTATCAGAATTTCTTTCATTGAGGATTCGAATCTGAGGCACCTCAACAGATGAAAATCAAACTTGCTATCAGCTGAGCTATTCCACTGCCACAAAAAGACTGTTACAAACCAGCGTTAGAGGGAAGAATTGACATTTACACAGTTCGAAAGTTGATGAAAGGATAGTAGGGCTATACAAGTGATGTTATTTGATCAAAAATTTGAGTGTAAATGTATATAACGAATATTGTCTATTGTAGAAGTGAGGGTACCTGTCAAGATGCTGTTTATGGAGATTTCAAAACAAGATGTTTGGATAAACCAGATGGTAGATATCTTGGTAGACTCAATATGAAAGGCTTGTGGACATGGAGTAAGTCTTACTCCTTCATTCATAATCCATTCTGACTGTTATTAGATAATCCAACACACTGTAATCTATCGGTTGTACTGGATAGAAATCAAGAGATTAGAGAGAAGATGATTCCTTCTTTTATATTAAATACTCCAAAATTCTAAATTTGAAAGCAATTTGTCATGGAACATGGGACTTATGGAAAATTAACGGCAGTTGACTTTTGTGTCATTTATTGCTAGTGTAATGACAATGATCATTGACAAGGAATTTCAAAATTATTCAACATATAAGGCTGAAATTTGGTGATAGATGTCTTTTATCTATGTAAATATGAGGTCCTAATATTGTTGGACCACCAAATATATCCTAGATCAAGTTGACAATGCTCCAGATAGTAATTAAATCTATATTTTACAGATACAGTACATGTATTGTACACAGACTATGATCATGTAACAATAGTGTATAGTTGTCTGAGTGAAAGAGAAGATGGAAGTTGTAAACCAGCAGCAGCTAAAGCTCATATCTTGAGTCGAACTACCACCTTAGATGAAGCTCGTAGAAAGAGAATGGATAATATCATAGTATCAGCTTGTTTAACTAAATTACAGGACAACAATGAAGTTGGTAAGGAAGAATTTTTTTTTCTGAAGTTTCAAGGTCCAGTCAATCTTTACTCCAATGTTATAGAGAGTTTACAGCAGTTTGCTTGGTTGACTTCGATTGGCAGTTTTCAATGTCACAAACAAAGTGAAACACTTCAGTTCAGACTATTTTCATATTTCACCCAGTTCAAGTTCAGGTCTGATCCTAACTATGTGGACAGTTAAACACATGAAAACATTTGTGTCATACAACTTGACTTGATCACAAGCCTCACTCAACATATCCATTGATAATACGTTATTTCTCCACTACCTATAGTTAAAAGTCAGCCCTTGTAGATTATACTAGGACGTTACAGGCCTCTATTAAATATAAAGATCTTACTGTCAAGTTTGTTATTTGATCAATTTTTACAGCAAAACATTACATTTTCAACAAGTTGTGTAAATTACCGCTATGATTAATTGCAATTAACAGTATTCTAGTATTCTAATTATTATTTTAGATATTAATACATGTAAACCTAAAGTAGCTACTGCCTTGGAGAATTTGAAGACTAAAAAGACAAAGGTAGCTGAAGAAAGTCAATAATCAACAAGACTGAATTCCTTCGAAAACTGGATAACGACTTATGTGAAACTTATGTATACACAATTATATTAAATATTGTGCCAAAGATTATTCCAATATGCCAAAAAGACATTTATTATTCAGTATATAAAACTGCTTTATATTTATCATAATAAAAATATTTGAAATAGAAATGAGTTTTATTTTGGGAAATAAGTATATAATTAAAATGTATTTATATTAGCACTCCTTAAGATATAAAGTTAGATATAAACAAATCAACATTTAATAATGATAAAATTTACACAAATATACAGATACTTCACATAAATGTAGAATTAATACAAAATTATATTAACATTCAATATTCCAACCTGATAATGATGTATAATCATGAAATGTGAATAAACCTACAATCCAAATCAAATTATATATATATATTTATAGAGCAATGATATCAAATTCACAAATACAAACATAATACTTGTGTTTAAATAAAATGTCAGAAAATACCTTCTATGAAGATATGATATTTCAATGTACATAAACAAACAAATACAAAATTATAAAATTTACCATGATGGCATCCTTCAATTTCCTGTGGTGCCACACTCAAATGACATATATATGGTTTGATTAACAATGGATAGGGGCTGTTGATCTAACTTCATTTTCAAAACATAATGTAAGAGAATGAGAATGGGTTAGCCATTAAATGTTGGTCAAATGCAAATTTTGATGAAACACAACAGAATCAAGCATTGTAGGGAATTTAATAACATAATCACAAACCTGGATGGATGATAATGATGAAGTTGAAATATTTTCATCTAAGTGAAAACAAAGGATCACAGACATTCACATACATGTATATGTATTATGTTCTTTATTCATACTGGCATTGGGAATTGTTCAGCATATTGCAACTTTCTATTTATTATATCTTCATTACCACTCGACTCTTTACTGGAAAATAAACATAAAATACTTACATGCTATTGGCCAGTTTAATATAGTTCAGTCTGCTCAAGTTTTAAGAAACCACACATCTCAGACAGGAAAGCAGAAAAGAGAAATAAATGTAAGCAATTTTTTCTTATGTAAAAGGGCATCATATTAAATGTGCAAATAGACGAAGTGACTTATGTCTGCCTTGTGTAGAAACCTGTACCTTGTGACTATGCTACTTCCTTTTCCTTCTGTATCAATTATCCATCACTGACACCACACTGAACCTTATCTATTAGCAGCTTTATGGTATGGGTAACAATGCTCATGATAATATTGTATTTCCAGGAAAGTGGACAAGATTAAACTTGATAACATAAAAAAGAACCTACCTACAGTGTGATGATTTACTAGTTATATTAGGTAATAATACAGAGTGTGATAATATTTCTACATTTCTTACACTACCAAAAAAATCAGTTAATAAAACTTGATCTGGATTACGATTAAATAGATCAGTTCTAACAGCTACTGTTGATATACATTGGTGTTTAGGACATACTTTTAACTACAAAATAAATTCATAATTCATTTATTATGCTTAAATTTTCCACTGGAGAAATTTATTTTGAATAAGGAAATATAATCTTGAAGGAATCTTTAATCAAAGCTAAGCTTAGAATTAAAAAAAATGCAATCCTACATCAATGTGGTATGTATGTATGTTGATTTTAAATTGTTCAGATGTTTCATGTAGATTCAATTCTATACATATAGATTTACTACTACAATCAAATTTGACCTGTATGATTGGTATATCTATAAGAACCAAATGACTTACAAATTTTCCCATAGTCTTTTTACTACCAGGTTTAGCTTTTTCTAGAAATTCTAAGGCATAGAAAGTATATCTATCTATCACATATACACCTAAAGCTGGATCTACATGATGCTGAAAGAAAGACACCATCCATTATATGCAAAGCACAGAATACTTGTACTTAAAGAATAATACACGATAATCGGTCTGTAATGTTTTAAGGTAGATTAAATGGTACAAATGGTGCTTTGAATTTGTCTCAATCCAGTTTCCCCAGTCAGTGATGCAGGTAAGAGGGGCTGATATGGAAAAAGCGTCCAGTTGTTCGGATGGGACAATAAACCGAGGCTGCACACATTAAAGATCCCTCGACAGTTGGAAATCGAAAAAAGAGCAGGCTTATGGTAATGTCCTAGCAAAAAATCCCTCATTGCAACCCACATGGCATTGCCCTATGCATTAGCCAACATGGTGCAGAAAAGTAGGACGTAAAAGTCCATTCATTTCATTTCATTTGAATTTGTCATGTTTATATTCTGAAATGCTTCCAAATGTGTATAAAAATAAAAATTGGCCAGCCAACAAAATCTTTTCTACTTCTGTATGAAATGCATTTGAACAATTTCTATTACCACATAAAAATACTTACCGATAATGAGTCCTCGCCAACATGACTGCTAGCAACAGCTAGTATATTGGGAGAGTAAAATTTTTGAAACATTGACTGTGCTTGACATGTATCAACCATAAAGAATAACTCATGATACCTACAACATAACAATTAGGTTAGTTAACATTCTCTTAGTCTCATATTTGATTAACTAGGCAATATGAATAGAGGTTATTAAGAAAGTAACATTAAGGTGATATATCTACATTAGTAAAATCTATAGACCTACCTTCTCTTTTGCCACATCTGTTCAAAAGCATCAGCTAATTCTACATTAGAAACCTCTTCAGCATCTTGAAACTTGAGAAAGCCATCACCTCCATGTCCTTAAATAAATATGTATTTGCTCTTTCTATATTTTTGATTTAGTCAGAAGATTGAAATCTTTTAGGGATCTGATAGATATTATCTTAGTACATAGCCAGAGAAAGTGAGTAACTCAAATTGATTTCACTCTTGTCTCATTTGCCTAGTCAGTGATTGAAACTTTAGACTATTAGAGATATGTCAGCATATAAAAACGTGTACAACAGTATTCATTAAACTTACCAGTCATATAAACCAATATATTACTTCTCTCATCAGATAGTAGGCGTTTAGATCTCGGAGTACTGGGTGGTAATCTACCAGTTAATACACGAATAAAATTCTCTACCGTTACCTATAGATTAAAAACAACAGTCTTTAAGGTTTATTCTTTATAAAAAAACAAGGCACTATTAACCAACAACTAGACAATCATTTCTAAAAACATCAGTGTTTGTATCACAGTGGGTTAAAGAGGTTGAAAGTGTATCTTATGTAGTAAAATATTCTTATTCAGAAGAATTATTACCTCATATCCTCTATAATCCACCTCTACATCATCACCATACACGTTAATATGTTGATTTACATTGTTAAATACAGTAGCTAGAAATAAAAATTAACACCTTGATATACTCTGTCTATTGTATCAAACATTATTCACAATGAAAAAGCCAGAGATTGGCAAGAACACTTTCATCTCTGATTTATCTTAGGCTGTAGTGCGATCAAAATTAAAACAAGGCATAAAAATATATAATTAAAAAAGAGTTTGGTGGTGGATTCAAAATTGATATTCATAGTGATTTATGAGTCAAAATATTTAAAGAAAGGACTACCTGGTCTAGGATTTCTAGGATTACAAGCCATATCATCTGCCACCATTAATATAATATGACTAAAATAATAAAAGAAGTAAGTTCATAACAGATATACTTAAATAAAGGTCTTTTGTTTGATAAAAAGACAATTACCTGTGCTGCATTTTGTATTGCCCTTCTTTGTAGGATAATAATTCATAAACAAACATGAAACTTTGAAAAATATTTTTTTTACAATTTTCAGATCCTATCACATTCTTCTGCTATCGTTTCAAACACTAGTGTGTTTAATGATCAAATATTAAATCTGTCTGCAAGAATCATATAAGGGACATGGTAATTTATTAACTGTCATCAATTATTGCTGAATAGTGACGTTTAGCTGAAACTGAGCTCTATCAATTTGTATAGCAAATACTTTGATGACGACAACACCCTTTTATATCTTGCTTACCTGTCAGGTATACCCAATCTCTTTACACTTCTATATATAGATAAAACATTGGCTACATGTCTATAATTAAACCAAAATCTAGATGTATCAACCAGCACAGCCCAATTATTTGTATGGCCACTCTTGAAGAATTCACCAATTTTCTCCTGTAAATAATACATTGTCATTGTAAACATTGAAAGAAAGTTGAATATGGGATTACTACATTAATGAAAAAATGCCTCAAACACACCTTCTTGGTCTTTGATAAAAACGCTGAGAAAAGTTGCACCGTTGCACTGTACGTTTTGTCACAGGCTACAACAGATTTTGCCAATAGGCCTAACAGGCCTATTTACAAATATCTCAATTGCATTATTTTATCACAGCACAATGAAATCAACAGCAAGATAAGGACAAAATGTGTAGAAATGTATTTTACCTCATTCACATCGCTCGTTAAAACATTTGATGAAAAATTAAGACACGAAATATAAGAAATAAACATAAGTTTAATAAATTTTTGATATCTAATGGGCGCAGCCATCTTGGGTAAAGTAATTCTCGTGTTCTTACGCCATGACAGCAAAATCATAATAGAAGATAATAAACTAAAATTGTGTACTTGTAAATAAAACCACTAATGTAAATCGTTTGAAAACATTGAAGTTTATGATTTTATTATACCTTGTGTTCAATTTACAGATATGATAATCAATATTATAGATTTTACTTATGTCCTATTTTGTGTTGTTTGTTTTGTACGTCCGCCCTTTGACCTACTTTATTTTTGTTTTCCTTAGAAACCAAGCACAGTCTGAGATTACTGAAATTTCATGACATTTAACGGTGTAAAAAATCAAAATTTCGTCGAGGAAAGTGAAATACGTCCGTTCTCAAAACGGCAAGATGTCATCGGAAGATGCAAAGTCTTACCTCTCAAAAAGGGAGGTTCCAAGACTTTTTGAAGTGAGTAGATTATTTTATTCCAGGCTGGCAAGCACCTGTTAGGTGTCACTGTCACTTGTCAGTGTCCTTTTTACTTTTAATTTAATATTGCAGCTTCTTACACTGCTTGCTTTCCAATTCACAAACTTGGTGGCTTATCGAAAGTTTTCAGAAATATGTTTCGCAAAATGAAGAAAAAAATCTGACATACTTCATGATATATCTTATTAAATTATAAACCCAAATAGTGAACAAAATGAAAAAAATCAAATTAGGCTATACATAGGCCTATTGTAGGCTACACCTACAAGAGTAAAATATTTTAACTGTGAGAATAGTGCTCAGTTCATCAACAGTAGAGCGATATAGAAATATTAAATCACAACCTAAAAAAACCTGTTGCTCAGAGTCTCACTCTAAGTAATCTTCAGACAACCTATTATTATGAACCAGTACTCATTAAACTAATATTTGAATTTATTAATCATGTGTCATAATTTGACTCATTTTATTACATTAGAGTATGATGACTGGATTGATGTTTCACAGACCAGATGATCACATAGAATATCTCATAGAATGTTTACAGAAAGTTAAGTCAGATACTCCAAAAAGTATATCCTGGGATTTATTTGTTGATTTAAAAAGGAGTCCATTACCACCTATAACATCACCTGTAAATGGCAAAACTGAGGATAGGACAAACAGTAGAGGCAGATCACGAGATAAGATTGATCCTCATGCGGCTAAAGGTAAACTTTACTATAACATTGATTTATATGTGGCTAAGATAGTCTTTAATTATAACATTGATTGATTTATATGTGACTAAGAAAGACTTTATTTTACAATTTTGTTGATTTACATTTGAATTATATAGACTGTATTTTATAATATAGATTTACATGTGGCTAATATAGACTGTATTTTATAACTTTATATTGATATATGGCTTAGATAGTCTTTATTTTATTATTTTGATTGATTTGATGTGGCAAAGATAGACTGTATAACTTTGATTGATTTAGATTTACATGTGTCTAAAATAGACTTCAATTTATAACATTCATTGATTTGCATTGCATTAACACATTGATTGTGGCTAAGATAACTTTGATTGATTTATATGTGGCCAAGTTTGAGATTTTTTTATACACCCACACATAAGATGGGTGTATATTGTAATCACCCTGTCGGTCCGTCCGTCCGTTCACATTTGGTTCGTGCTCACTCTACAGGCTACAATTATTTACAGATTCTTTTGATTTTGATTTTGTGCGTCAATGTCATTATGAAGATGATCCCTATCAATTTTCGTGATGATCGGATAATTTTTCACCGAAATATCGTGTCTGACTTGATGTTTCACTCTATTAGCTATATTGTGCAACTCGTGTTCAATCATTTCTTACAGCTGCCAGTGGGAGTATGTTACCTTGCCTGGCAAGCCATCTTTTATAACTGATTATAAAAGATGTATTTTGTATCATGTGCATCAATTGTGGATGAAATAGACTTTATTTTTTAAGATTGATCGATACATTTGACATAAAATAGACTAAGTTTGTTCATAACTTTATTGATTTCATGCATCTAAAGGTAGACTTTCTTTTATAAAGTTGATTGGTCCGCATGTTACTAGAAATAGGCATTATTTATCTTCCATTATATCTATCATTGATCATCTGTCTACAATTATTACAGTATATTTTTGATTGAGGTTAGATTGAAGTTGATTGATTAATTAGTAATGATAATAAGAAAAGATGGAAATCTATATTTTATAAGCTTATGTTATTACTTCGCCCAGTATATATATTCACTGGTATCATCATATGATAATTATCCTTTTTCCCATTTATTCATATCTTCCGACCACAAGGTGTGTTTAGGGGGATATGCTTTTTAATTAATTAAAGCCAGTGTCAATGACCCAATCAGTGGCGGCACTGATATGAATTCAGGGCAATAAGGTATTTTTTCTTTGAGGCTAAAATCCTATTGTCTTTAAAATCAGTTATGTCTTTCATCGCAACTTTTAGTAGATTATTAATGGTAAACGTCTTTACACAGACATCAAATAAACTATATATGTATTTAAGCAGATACCATATTGATATTTCATAATATTTTCAAACAAAATTTTATTTGTTTATTTTTTATTTTTGTCAAATGCGGCATGAGGCATTTGCCTTGATGTTGTTAAGCCATTGAATTTAAACTACATTATAATAATTAATTCTTTTTAGTTGAAGAGATCTTGTTAAGAGCTGAGAAAAGTTCTGAGAAAATAGAATTAAATACACAATCTGCCTTACCACCAATAGGAAAGAAGCTGACACAAGACAAACCTATAGTTCTTATTATTGGTATGTAATCATACTACCTGTCTGAAGAATGTTGTCTCATAAATATCAAAAGATCAATAATTGTGGAAATCCACAGTTGGATTCTAGCATAACTTGAAACTTTCTTTAAATATTTTAGTCTGGGATATAAGCTGAAAAGCATATTATTCTCAAAATGATTCAGATGATTAAAATTACAGTACAACTCATTGATGTTCAATTTTAAGGTCATAAAAAGGCTATAGAATGGATTTTAGAGAGGTTTTCTAAACTATTTATGTGTATCAGGGGCCAATTATGTCATCTATTTGTGTCATTTCAATTTTTTGTCATATGTCTGTGATTCCTGTAATTATTCAATTCCTTAATCATATAACAATCTTGCAAAAGCTGCTAATGAATTATTTTTAAGCAGCCTTTACGATTTGGGCTTCAAAAACAAGAGTGGAATTCGCATGACCCACAGACGTCTGACTGAAAATAGGAATGGTGTAAATCAATGCTATCAGCTTCCTCAATAGACATAAAAAATTAAGAAAATGTCCTTCCATCCCTGTATTAAGTACTTCTTACCACACAATAGGTGGACCTGGTAGTGGTAAACTAACACAAGTAGAATATATTGTTGAAAGATATACAGGATGGGTTCATATATCAATGGGTGATTTAATACGTCAAGAAATTCGAGAGAAAGGAAGTGCTGAGAAAAAATGGGATATGGTCAATACAGTTATGGCTAGTGGAGAAATGGCTCCTGAGGTACTTCTTATACTGAGATACTGATGAAATATACTACTGCTTTGCTCAACAGATTGTTCCTTCACATTTTTCATTCCAAACATGTTATCCATGTCATATCAGTAATTATCATGAGGAACTGACATTGTAACAGTTGAAACCAGTAAGCTTAAAGAATAAGCAGATTGAAATGTTTGAACATTAGCTGAATAAATTATGATGTTAAAGCCAGAATGGAAAAAGAAACAATGTCCTGTTTATAACAGTCTGTGCATGTTAAAGATCCTTTGACAGTTTGAAATCAATAAAGAGTAAGTTTTTTCCTCTGTCGTTGCAAAAATCACCCTCATTGCAGACTACATTCCCCAACTTCTACCTCATTAGGTATAAAATATCATTTCACTTTCATTTTATTATAGGATGTAACTGGTGATATATTAATAAAGAATATAAAGAATAATGAGAAGGCTGTAGGTTTTATTATAGAAGGATATCCTAGAGATTTAAAACAAGTTCAAGAATTTGAACAACTTGTAAGTTTGACAGCCTTGTTCACTGATAAAAACTGTGATAATAATATTGTTCTATTGTTCAAGTTCCCTGATTATGCTTTGCGATTCAATTTTGAAAGATATTTGGAGCCTTGAATTTTGACTGCAAACAAATTTTGTTTTAAAAAATCATCTTTCTGAGAAATTCTTTATATGCATGATTGATTTTCCATATAAAGAATGCAGTGTTTGAGCAGCAGTTACAAAGTGACTTCACACAAAAGTGATGTCATACACTTAAACTCTTAATATGAGGAGTATATGATATGATGTTTTACATTTAAAGCTTATAGGGTCCATAAATATAAATAAACATCTACATATTTTTTTTGCAGGTTGGCAGGGTTGATCTAGCTATAGTATTAGATTGTGATGAGAATTATTTAAAGAATAGATTATTGGATAGAGGACATATTGAAGGAAGATTAGATGATAATATAAAGGCTATATCTAAAAGAATTATGTTTTTTAAACAGAATACATTACCAGTTATTAAATACTATGATGACCAAAATAAAGCTGTTGTGGTAAGAATCTGAAGTTTAACTTGAGGTGTCTTATCTTAAACATTTGAATTTGTCTTTCAAAAGTGTAAATCTATGATAATTTGTCATAACCTTCACTATGGTAACTTGATACCACACAGTTTCTCCTACACAGAATTGACCAGAAGCAGACTTGATTTATAATATTTGGTCTTTGAACATGCTCCTATTCCGATCTTTGGTTATTTTTTTTGTAATAATATAGATATTGATGTTTACAGCTGGAAGGAGAGAGAGACAGTACAGAGATAGCGTCTGATATCTTTAAGTTATTTGATGATTATTTCTATGGTAAGGGAGATAAACCAGCAATTTTAAACACTCCTATAGGTAAATATGACATCTTCATTCTTTGGAATATCTTTCATTGGCAAACTGTAGTTTGTCACATGACAATAAGGCGTATGAATACATCGAAAACGAAAACAAGGATTGGAAAGGGATTTTGAAAGGGTTTCTAACAAGTATTTTAAATCCGTTAATATTTCAATGGAATAATGAATATTTGATAATTCTATCATCCAAATAAGACTATTGATTTATAGAAATATATTTTTATATATTGTGGCGGTAAATTTGATTGGCAGATATCGGTGAATTTTTCGGGTATTTTTACAATTAAAGAATAGAACATTTTGGCATATTTTATCACAAAAGATAAACCAATGTAAATATAAGGAATGAATGTGGATCTTGTTATCGTTATGGGGAAATAAACGCTGGTTTATCATGTGACAAGACAAATGACCCGGCGATAACAAGATCCATATTCATTCCTTAAATATAGTGATAGTCATGATAGTGATAGTTATTTCTATTATAATTTCTGTGTTGAGAACTGAATATTATCTGAAAATCTTTGTTTTATGACAAAAGTACAGGTATATTGTATTAAATTCATTTTGAATTACACTTCATTACATGTACCTTATATAAACTCCAGCTTATTATTTAATCTGAATATATTGTAGTTTCAGCACCACCATTACCTAAAGGAAATGGAAAATATGGTAATTAAAGTTTTTCTTTTATGTGTTATGAATTAATCTAATAAACAAAATATATCTGCTAACATCACTTCACAATTTTATATTTTGGTTTGGTAAAAAAGTCAAACCATAGTCACTGGAGCAATGATATTTGTGATCATACTGGCAAGATTAAACAATAATCATGTTTTGAGGTAGTTTTTAGTCAGTACTACTTACTATCTTCAAATAAATTGGAGTGCTTGTGTTAATGTTTCAAATAGTTCGAGGATGTGTATAGATACTTTAGCTATTCTATCCAAAAATGTTGTGATTGTAAAATTTTTTCAACCTTGAATGCACTGGGTATGAATAACCTTCTTTTTTTTTTGTACAGTACCACACCCTCCAACTAAACCTAAACCTAGTAGTAGAGAGAAGGACTCTCAAGATGTTCCAGATAGTAAAACTATATTACAAGAGGATATCCAACGTGATTCCACTATTAAAATCAATGTCAAGGACACAGGACGTAAAGAAGGTCTACCACAAGCACCTGTAGTCTTCTTTGCTGGTAGGTTTGAATTTTTTATTCTTAATACTGAACAATCTGTAAATCTTATCTTTAGTAATTCTTGTTAGTAGTAATTCTTAAACACAACTTATTCTTAGCTGTAATTCTTGTTAGGTTTTTCTATGTTTATTGATCAAAACTCTTAAGAGAAATTACAACATAGGTACCTAGAAATGAATATTAAATCATGAACTCAAAAGATTAAAGCTCCATTTGTCACCTTATGATTTGTTATTTCAGGTGGACCTGGTAGTGGTAAAGGTACACAATGTAAGAAATTGGTAGCAAGATATCCTGATTTTGTACATCTGTCTATGGGTGATATACTACGTACAGAAATAACTACACATGGTACAGTTGATGCTAAATGGGATATGATTAGTACATTGTTACAGAAAGGAGAAATGGCTCCACGAGTGAGTGTTAATGATAATTTTAGACAAGTATTGAATGTAGTTTCTGTTAGACTGGAGCACCATGTTATAGTTCATCTGATCCAAACTGAATTCTTATAATCCTCACCTCCAGTTAGGCAAGGTTTTTAAAAAACACTATACACACAATTGTATGGTATTCCATTTTTAAATTTTCAAATGAACGTGAAAAGCAAATGGACTGGACGTTATCTCTTGCAATGTTAAGATGGCTTACATCAAAGTGTATTTTGCTTTGAATGATGTTTTTGCCATAGCCATGGAGAAGACTTTATTTAAAATGTTATCAAACAGGATTTTGAAACTGAAAGTAAATTCAAACGTGAACATACCTTAAATAATGTAATGTTAAGTTAAATAATTTATGTAAAATTTCTGATATTGTAGGAAATGACAATAGATTTACTATTGAATGCTATGAAAGAACATAAAGATGCTCAAGGCTTTATTATTGAAGGTTTTCCAAGAGATGTCCTTCAACTAGAAGAATATTTCACACATGTAAATATATTTATAATATATAGGGACTGAAAAGATTAAGCCAAAGGAGGTGCACATGGCATATAAAAAGTGTAACCAGTGGTTGGAAAGAATATGGTACAAAACATAATCAGTGGATAAACAGAGCTAGTTGTTTGCTCTTATTTTCGTGAAAAAAAGAACATCAGAATTATGTTAAAATTGTGTTGATTTGGTTTTTATATTTATATTATTATAGATTGGTGGCCTTGGTTTTGCTATTGTATTAGATTGTGAAGAATATTATTTACAAAAACGTTTAGTTGAACGAGGTGAACAAACTGAACGTATTGATGACAATTTGACAGCCATTTCTAACAGACTAAATTTCTTTAAACAAAATACATTACCAGTTTTACGATATATAGATGATGAAGGCAAGCTAGTTGTGGTATGTACATTTTAAATATCTTTGTAATTATGATTTTATAATACTCAGGCGAAATAATGATATGCTCAACAATCTTTGGTTAATATCAAGACTGCTCTTTTGAATAAATCCTAGTGTATGAATTTTCCTTGATCTTTTATCTTTGACCATCAGCCATCAATTACAAAATGGGGGATCATCAATATTGACAAGAGAACCTCTTGTGAAAAATTCAAAACTTTTTGTCACTATGTATAATGTGCATCCCTAGTTAGGCAAGCCCTTTCTAGAGTAAAACACTGCCTTATACACACAAATATACAGTATTACATCTTTTTATGCATGATGCATCTGTAATTGTTACAAGTGGTAAAATTGTATATATATTAGATTATATTTTGTGTTTAAAGGTACAAGGAGACAGAGATGAAGCTGAAATATTCTATGATTTATGTAAAGTATTTGACATGGCTTTTTATGGTAAACAACCCCAATTAGTAAGTATTAATCAAACTAATTATAATCTTTCTTTTACATTATCTTGAATTCTACTATAAATCAAAGTAATATTGTCAAATTTTGAGAAAGAGAACTTAGTTGGCAATATCTGGTTGATGATTTTCTAACTAGATTATTCTTGAAATTGTCTTCTTTACCCAATATCATCAAAGGTGGTCATAATTTATGTAATTGGTTAATATCAAGTAACCCAGAACAGCAGATGCATTATAATTTTCTCAGATAATGGATGCCAAGTTGGATTATCTGCCTTGAGAGGGATGTGTTTTATTGTATTTTTTGATAATTAGTTGATTAAAAGTGGTATTTTTTTTTACTCATTACATAATATATAATAATATATATTGCTGCTACCTTACAAATTTCTTGATTGAAGGAAAGTTTCATCTGTTCACCCTCCATTTATTATTCTTATCACCTTGATTGATAATTATCAATTTATCCATCCATTATATATAGCTGTGATTGCTAGAACAGTCACATTTTTCATCTGAATAAGTTTGATTTTTGTGACTTTTGGAAGATATTTTTTTTTAGATATTGCCCTTGACAAAAAACATCAAAATTAGTCTGTGTATAGGAAAAAAACTACCACTTTTATTCTATAATTTTTATGATATTTCAATAAATGGTAATTGTATACTTGTGTATAATTCCAATACGGTAGATGAGTCCCAATTTGTTCCTGATTTTGTGATGAATGACTTTGAGTTATTGCCCCTGTCAAAAAAACATAAAAAAACATCAAGAGGTCAATTTCCTTGACAAAAGCAAATTTAATATGGCTTTGAAGTGAAATTAACTACTAATTTAACAGATTAGATGACGTATATAGTAACATAAGCGGCACCAGGCTCCTGAGACTGGGAGCACGAATAGGGGGTAGACTGACTTAATGGGGGGACAACTGTCGTGTTTGTATAAAATCAGCTCTTTTGAAGCGCATAGACACAATTCTCAATGGAGCATCTGAGAAACATGTAATGAAAAATATAATTGATTTGTGCATTCTGACACATACCTTAGGTCAAAAACGTATAAACCATTTTTCTGGAGACCAGTGTAAATGCCCCTGTGTGCCCCACTGTTGCTGCCTCTGTTCAGTTATCAGTTTCTAAGTTATTTCTCTTGACAAGAAGGTACCTTTATCAGTTTGTGTTTATTTAACTTTTGAAAATATTTTAACCAGTATATTACAGTGGTTTAGAAGTGTAGCCTATAGAATATTCAAAGAATTCTACAGTTCTTGTGGAATCTACAATTTCTTTTTTCTTGTGGAAACCCAGAATCAGTCTTTGCCACATTAAACAAAAAAAGTTAAAAGACAGTATTAGGCCGAATGTTTCCTTTAAAGAAATATTGGTGGATTTTTGATTATCTTATCAGTTATTTGTACCCTATAGTTAGAAGTACAGGTGTAGATTGAAAAACCAGTTGGACAATAAATTTTAATATCAGAATATATTTTGTTTGTAAATATCAAAATGTCAAATATTATAGCCTATTATTTAATATATTAAAGCATGTGAGCTTGATAAATTATCAGTGGGCTAGCATATTACACAGTAAAATATAACAACAGATTACAGTGTAGAAATAGTAGCTGGAGTACTACTACTAACTAGTCACTAGATCTGGCTACTAGATAGATACTCTTCTACTACTAGCTTTCATTCAACTATTTTTGGAAACATCTCATTAGTGTTGTTTGTTTGAGTTATTACCATACTCTAAGTTTTCGTATCAGTATATTATTGGAATAAATCACAATGCCTGTAAGTTGATTTTGAGATTTTTTAGGGTTGTCTGACTATTGGTCAAGTTAAAGAATAAGCCCAGTATTATGATGGTCAGGTTATTGATGCACTGGTCATAACCTAAATGAACTCTTGCCTACATGTGGTGGTTTTATCTTATCAAGAGTAGTAGTACTATATTGTATTTTACAATAGCTTGCCACACTATTACCTTGTAATATTAATCATGTACAGAGATAGAAAACCTAAATGCTATAATATTACAATGCATTCTTCTTTTGAACTTTTGTTAAAAATAGCATGCCCTCCAATTGCATTTCCCCTCCTTGGTTCCCCTCTCATCTGATTTCTACTAGATTTCTACAGACAAAATTAAAAGCCGTCTGCTAGAATTCTAGTACTATTTTCAAGGTGAACCAAAATCTTGTTTTTTTAATGACCTTGACCTCGCCACCATACACTTTATAGACTTTCATTTCTTCAAGAATTCTGTTAACTTTTTAGGTCGACAATTTGTGTTAATATGTTTTCGGACATATATCTGTTTTTACAATATCTTATTTCAAAGAAGTATGTTATAAAACATTACACATGTATCACAGGTTAATGGTCCATAAATTTTATTTTGTAAAGTTTAAACCATAATTTTGTCCTCTTAAACAAACAAATAGCCTATATGATATTAATGTATCATACAGTTTAAAATGGCTAAAAGCGATATTAGTGTTTAAAACCAAGGATTAAATAGATAGACACAACTTTACTGTCAATAATAGAATTTACAGACCACAGTCTGTGCTATATTATATAGTAGCTTGGTAAAATAGGTTTTCTTATTGATTTTTTGTTCATGAGTCAATAGAAACACAGCTGTCAATTTGATAATATTATAGGAGTAATAGTAATATTCAGGAATTGCCAATAATACAGGCTTGCAATAAGTGGTTAGTGCGGGTACAGAGAAGTGATTTGCGCCCCCAATTGTATCCAGTTTTATTTTCAACGAAGATAAAAAAACTGATTTTTTATTCGTTTTTACCCTAAAATATATGTCAGAATGCACCAAATCAATTCATTTTTTCTCAAATTTTCTTTAGAGAAATCTCTGAGACTAGAGGCTTGAGACTCCTCTCCACAGAGTAGCCAAATTTTGAATTCAGCCTCCACAGTTGTCCCCCTATTGAGTCAGTCTGCCCCCTATTTGTAGGTTGATAGACTAGTGGGTAATAACATTTTAAAGGATGTTCTTTTCTTTAATTTCAAAAGAATGGTGGGAGACCTTAAATTAATTTTCCTATCCTTTTGTTATAGGCCTATTCTGAGTTATGAGTATTTATAGATTATAAGGCTTCTGTGCATTTTTTGTAAGCTTAGCTTTACGGGATCCCTCTCATTAAGAATCTACATAACTTACTCTGTTTAATCATTTTTAATTAACTTCATTCCATTTATTTTACAGGCAATACCAAAAGGAGAGCCAGGTTAGTTTATATACATATTTATTAATTTCTTCAACATTTTCATATTTACATTGTGGGTGTATCATAAACATATCCTGGAAACACAAGGGAAGCAACTCATTGTTTAATCATTAGAAATATAAAATACACAAATCACTATATGTGATTAGGTTTTGTGATTAGGGCCTATATGTATTTGTTGATAATTCATTTCTTGGTTTGACACTATACTGTTACTGCTTTATGGCTTATACTTATTCCTAGAAATTAATAGCACTGCTCTACTACCTAACAAAGTTCAAAAATATTAAGTTTATTGGTTATTCCCAAATTGCTCTTGTTGCATGGAAATGAGACTGATTGAAGTACTTGTTGAACTGATGACATTATTGTCAATGATAAGGATTTCTAATAATAGCTCATAATAAACAATCTACTGAGTGGGTTTATGTTACCTTGTCAAATTTATGTTATCTATAGTTTTATGTTAGGTAAGGTTTAAAGTTCATTTTGATATAGACTTGTTTAACAATGTATGCTACTGTGTTAATATTGTGAAAGACATAATTATAGTCCTCTAGATATCTATTTGACATTTGGTGAAACTAGTCAAACAGTTAAAGGAAAATAGATGTCTAATTATTAGCTTTACCAGCCTAAACAACTCAATTTTAACTAGCTTTATGAATATCTGGATCCTCTCCAATAAAACAAAATCAAACTGTGAAAGTGTAGACTGACGTTATTGCCAATGATTTCATTAAATCTGTTACATGCACTCAAGTCCAATCATACATTGTGGGAAAAAAAACAAAGTCTGTATAAGATTTTTTGACATCGATTCTAATGTCTTTTTGTGTGATTACAAACAAACTGTTCAGTCTGCAAGTTCTATGGGTAGCTATCAACTAAATATTTTGAAGACATAACTCCTTTATTAAGGCATGCAGCATGTTAGAAGATATTAGAGGTTTTATTTATTTTGGTTGTAGAAGGTGTAGTGGAAGAAGTTATTGAAGCTAGTATTGTTCCGTCTACCAATATTCGAACTGGTGATACTATTAGTAATCCACATCATACAGCTTATCTTGACTCTACTAGTTAAATACTAAGCACATGTACTAATTATAATGTGTTATTTGAATTGTTTCCCTAATACATGTTGTGACAGATTGGTGGTGCTTGATTGGTTAATTCTGAACAGGTTCCAATTCTGACTTCAAACCCAAACATGCTGAACTTACCAATCTAGCGCCTCCGTAGGCCGTATTGGTTTGATCCATGAAATATTTGCTCTGCTTTCTACTATAAACAGTGAATGTGCAAAATTGTCATTATATAATTATAATATGTAAATGATAAAATATAAAACATTAAAGCTTTTTCTTAGATAACAATTGTGATATGATGATATATATAATGTTCATCATGATACCCATTTATTGATTTCATTCTGTTTCTCTCAATCTTTGTTTTTTTTTTTTTTCATTTTTCTGGTGCAGTTGTGCCAAGATTATAATACTTCAACATAGAAAATATAGTTAACTATTATGATCTTTCAGCTACGTAAGTGTTCATTTGTGTGCATATATACTGGTCTAAAACTTGCTTTCAAATTTCCCTGATTTATAGAGGGAATGTGTTTAAAATATCCCAGATTTATAGAGGGAATGTGTTTAAAATATCCCAGATTTATAGAGGGAATGTGTTTAAAATATCCCAGATTTATAGAGGGAATGTGTTTAAAATTTCCCAGATTTATAGAGGAAATGGGTTTAAAATATCAACAAAGATTGGGCTATTCTTTAATTTTTTAATGATAATTTCGGGGGATTAATAATTAAGTGAGTCTGTACAACTACTGTAATCTCTCTTATATCACCAACCCAAATATCAACCTACAAGGTGAGCCATGTTGCAAAACTCATCACTTGAACACAACTTGAGCACATATCATTGACTGAAATTAACAACAGTTCTCTCAGTTGTGGATCAGTCCATGAGATTTTTTAGTAAAATCATTTTCTTTCAAAGGGATGTAACTTCTACCAGGAAGAAAACCAGTGAGCAAAACTTTCTATTTGCCTAGATCTAGCCAGGGATATTAGAGTGAATTTCTCCTGAATTTTATATACAATATCTCTGTGATTCTATATACAATATCCCTGTGATTCTATATACAATATCCCTGTGATTTTATATATAATATTCTTGGGGAAAGGATTTTATGAGGTTTATAATCCCACCAGAACAATAGAATGATGTCACTGTAGGTATATAAATTCTGACATTTTGGCCAATCCCAGCTCCTTTCAAAAATATATAGCTCTTAGATCGGATAGAGAAAGCAAGTTTCGGACTGATATCATTCAAGCACTTATTGCTTACAGGTACAGGTAATTGTTTATTCAACTTAATTGTGTATGTCATAGTATTGTTAGATTAGAGTTTAAACATGTCTACCTGTAAGTTTAATCTGTATTATATTATCTTTCTATTTCTAATATTATCTTGATGTATATCTTAATGTATTGGCTGCCAAAGATTTTTGAAATGTCTTTAACTTTGATTTTGAATGAACAGTTGTGCATATCTTTTCACTGTCTGATCCGGGTGATATAATCATAATTATCTCTTTTATATAGATATTTTAATCTTTTACATGAAATATTACTGTTATTATCAATCAGTCGGCAACAATATTCATATTTATTTGTAAATGGATACAAATGATTCATTTAAGATCAATGCTAAGAGGTTTGGCCAAGGAAAACGCTGGTAGACAGGATCCTTGTGAACCTAAGTGGTTATCCTTGTAAAAAAAATTGTTGTGTACAGTTCTTTGTTCTTTCCAAAACTTTACAGAAAGAACAACAGAAGTTCTGCCCACCTATGACATTTTTGATGCCATAGATACAGAGATAAGTTGGAGGGTTGGTAAGCATTAGATTTAATATGGTTTAGGTTGATTCCCGTGATTGATGGACAAAAGCTAAATTTTATATGTTTTTAATCATCTATTTTACATTAACTTACATCTCTATTTTAATGTCTGTGATATGTTTATAGTCATTCAACCATATTCTTAATCATAGAATCATTAAGACTGTTTCAATGGTTTGAAATATTCATTGAAGAACTTGAGAAATATATTATAAAAATACTTGTTTGTTATTTTTCTGTGATATTATTCTTTATACTATTTAGTTTCATGTTAGTGAACAAAGTTTTTTTGTTCATATAGCTACTATATATAGCTTTATAACTATACATTTATTAATAAAGTTACACACCATATTTCTTTACTATGTTTTTCCTATAACTTCAATGAGTTGCTTCCCTTTAATCTTCCAGATTGTTCAGGACTCATTTCACTAATTCATTTGCCATCTCTTCCAATGTTTAAACACGAAATTCAACCTTCTATAACTTTTTCCAGAAATCTCGTTGACAGCTTTCTAATATAGCGAATAAAAGCCTGACCCATCCTTAATGTCTCCTTAAAAAATTCAATATATGATGACCATGAAAATTTTGAGCTAGTCAAATTGAAAGTAGACTACTACCGGTTATACTCATCCGCTAGAGTTTGACACTTCACAAAACGACTATTTTTAGAATTATCCTTCCGCCTTTAAGTCTCTCATCATCTCACTAAATCTTAAAGAACGCAATTTCAGACATTAAATTCCAAATCTAGACCAAACATTACTCAAAAACAGGCATGCAAAAACCCTGAAAGGGAGAGAGAAAGAAGATTTCTAAAAATAGCCGTATACAATCATTTGCATAAAATGTTTTAGTGGAGTGAGTCCTTATATTATTAAACCTCATGCTTTGATGAACATAATCTACAGTCAAGAAAAATTTCCAGAGATCAGTTGAAGATACAAATCCTTTTTTGAATGCAAAAAATAAACCATTTTATTGCTCTCCTTTGTCCTTATATGATCTATAATAATCCAAAAAAATCTAAGATTTCAAATGATAATCTGTTGAAGTTATGATGTGACTGCATAAATTCAACTTACACCTTGTTCTCTGTAGACTTTGAATTGAATTTTATCTGGTTTTATTATGTGTACATAAAACTGAACAAAGAAATGATAATCTGAGACTAATCTAAGATTTTATTCTAATTCAAAAAAAGAATTATTAGTAAAATTAGATTCAGAGACCACAATGATCATAGCGTAGATATTTTATGCTTGACCATCAACAGCCACTAGTACATTGTTATAATGGAAGGCTTTAATACTATCACATCAGATCCAAAAATAAGAGTTCTAAAAAAACACAGTTACATTAAAGGATGAATTGTGAGGGCCATATTATACATAATGCAGGGAATTCAATGTGATTTGAATATGTGCTTTCCTGATTTTTTTATAATCAACAGTAAGAGAGGCAGTAAAAAAGTAGTAAAAATGGATGTATTTTCACAGTGTACTTCAATAGTGCTCTTCAGAAAACATCCCTAAACAATGTTATGATTATTATTTTTGTTGCTTTACAGATTCTGTTTTAAAGGATGCCAAGGTGGTATTTGTTGTTGGTAAGTTTCATACTAAATGCTTCATAAACAAAAAATGTTACTTAGATACCTTGGGTTGTCACAGATTGCTCACCAGCAATGGTAGAATCAAGTGCATATCAAAGGAATAAATCCTTGATAAAATCAGTAGATAGATCTAGGATATATACTAGAACTAGTTATGTAGGATATACATATCCTTTTAAGGTTATAAAATTAATTTAAAACCATGTACATCTTTTCAGATAAGATGAGAATTTGTGAACGTGAATATTTCTGTGAATATTTCTATGAATATTTCAGGTGGACCAGGTAGTGGTAAAGGAACACAATGTGCCAAAATTGTAGAAAAATATGGTTTTACTCACCTTTCTACTGGTGATTTATTACGAGAGGAAGTAGCTTCAGGTTCAGAAAGAGGCAAGAAGTTAACTGAAATCATGAAAAAAGGAGATCTTGTCCCTCTTGTATGTATATTTCAAGTTATGAACTTTACATGCAATACTCACTTTTTAATATATATTATAGGATACAGTATTAGCTATATGACTCTATCTGACTATATATTATAGGATACAATATTAGCTATGTTAAAAGATGCTATACTTTATAGGATACAGTATTAGCTATATGACTCTATCTGACTATATATTATAGGATACAGTATTAGCTATATGACTCTATCTGACTATATATTATAGGATACAGTATTAGCTATATGACTCTATCTGACTATATATTATAGGATACAGTATTAGCTATATTAAAAGATGCTATACTGACTCTATCTGACTATATATTATAGGATACAGTATTAGCTATATTAAAAGATGTTATACTGACTCTATCTGACTATATATTATAGGATACAGTATTAGCTATGTTGAAAGATGCTATGATAGCTAAAGCTGACAAGAGTAAAGGATTTTTGATAGATGGATATCCAAGAGAATTGGATCAAGGCCTTCGATTTGAAAAAGAGGTAATAAAGCTGTAAAAAGCATTTTTTTTCTTTTTCTCACTCAAGCTGAAAAGGTTAACCTTTATTGAACTAAAATGGATGTAGACAAAAATAACTTAATCCAAAATCTTATCACATTGGTCAGAGAATGTTTAGAAATTAATTGTTAACTGTGCAATTTGGTATATAGAGTCCCCTTTTTGTTTGTATAACCGGTAAAAATATGGTTTAAAGACATTATTCCATATTTTTTTATTCAAGGATAAAAACCTTGTAAAATAAATGTTTTGATGGACTGTTTTTAGGTTGTTCCAGCTCAGTTTCTCCTATGTTTTGATGTATCTGATAAAACTATGACAGATCGTTTACTAGATAGAGCTAAAACTAGTGGTAGAGCTGATGATAATGAAGAAACTATTAAAAAACGCTTAAAAACATTTCATGATATCACACAACCTGTTATAAATCATTATCAAAAACAAAATAAAGTCAGAATGGTGAGTCAATATCTTTTTAAAAACATTTCTGTGAACTATAGTACCTGTACTGTATAAGATTAGTTTTGCAACTTCAAGATTTTAAATGGATTACATTTGGGATTTGAGAAATAGCAATATACTCTTGGTGACACTCGATTGGAGAGTTCTGAACAAGTTCCATCTGTCCCAATTCTGCAAGTCTAAATAATAATTGTTTAACACTTAATAAAGGTGGGTTAAGGATATTTGTCTTATTCTAGATTCCAGCTGAAACGTCTGTTGATGAAATATTTAATGAAGTCCAGAAAGTTTTTGATGGTTTTACACAATCTGGTAAGAATAGTTATATTGTCTAAGTATTTTCCCTATAAATTGATTAGTCTTCTATTGAGATCATGACATGTAAAAATTGTCCTGTAGTTTCAAATGGGGAAAATAACATCCCAGTATTTCTGAAAAATTGTATTATTATTTTTACAGGATCTAGTGCTGATGTTTTAAAAGATAAAGACATCATATTTGTTGTTGGTGAGTCAATTAATGAATGCTTACTCTTTTCCAAACACCTGATGATACTTCTCTTTAGAGGAGTCCATTACTATACAACTTTTACACTTGATTTTACTGTACTTTGGACGGATTTTGATTATAAGAATTGCTTGAACAGAGTTGTTAATGCTTCCTAGGTGAGAATTGAAATCTTAAATTGATATGATACTACTTACATAATTCTTTCATATATGAATATTTCAGGTGGACCAGGTAGTGGTAAAGGAACACAATGTGCCAAAATTGTAGAAAAATATGGTTTTACTCATCTTTCTACTGGTGATTTACTACGAGAGGAAGTAGCTTCTGGTTCAGAAAGAGGCAAAGAATTAACATCTATAATGGAGAAAGGTGCCTTAGTTCCATTGGTATGTAATGTATTATTATAGTGGTAATCTTATCACATAATCTCTTTATGTCAGACAATAGATTCTAACTGAATAAAACAACTTAAATTGCTTGTGCAGATTTATATTATGATTGTACAATATTAGCTATGTTAAAAGATGCTATATTGACTCTATCTGACTATATATTATAGGATACAGTATTAGCTATATGACTCTATCTGACTATATATTATAGGATACAGTATTAGCTATATTGACTCTATCTGACTATATACTATAGAATACAGTATTAGCTATGTTAAAAGATGCTATATTGACTCTATCTGACTATATATTATAGGATACAGTATTAGCTATGTTAAAAGATGCTATATTGACTCTATCTGACTATATATTATAGGATACAGTATTAGCTATGTTAAAAGATGCTATATTGACTCTATCTGACTATATATTATAGAATACAGTATTAGCTATGTTAAAAGATGCTATATTGACTCTATCTGACTATATACTATAGGATACAGTATTAGCTATATGACTCTATCTGACTATATATTATAGGATAAAGTATTAGCTATATTAAAAGATGCTATATTGACTCTATCTGACTATATATTATAGGATACAGTATTAGCTATGTTAAAAGATGCTATATTGACTCTATCTGACTATATATTATAGGATACAGTATTAGCTATACTGACTCTATCTGACTATATACTATAGGATACAGTATTAGCTATGTTAAAAGATGCTATATTGACTCTATCTGACTATATATTATAGGATACAGTATTAGCTATGTTAAAAGATGCTATACTGACTCTATCTGACTATATATTATAGGATACAGTATTAGCTATATCAAAAGAAGTTATACTGACTCTATCTGACTATATATTATAGGATACAGTATTAGCTATGTTAAAAGATGCTATATTGACTCTATCTGACTATATATTTTAGGATACAGTATTAGCTATGTTAAAAGATGCTATACTGACTCTATCTGACTATATACTATAGGATACAGTATTAGCTATGTTAAAAGATGCTATATGACTCTATCTGACTATATATTATAGGATACAGTATTAGCTATGTTAAAAGATGCTATACTGACTCTATCTGACTATATATTATAGGATACAGTATTAGCTATACTGACTCTATCTGGCTATATATTATAGGATATAGTATTAGCTATGTTAAAAGATGCTATACTGACTCTATCTGACTATATATTATAGGATACAGTATTAGCTATATTAAAAGATGCTATATGACTCTATCTGAATATATATTATAGGATACAGTATTAGCTATGTTAAAAGATGCTATATGACTCTATTTGACTATATATTATAGAATACAGTATTAGCTATGTTAAAAGATGTTATACTGACTCTATCTGACTATATTATATAGGATACAGTATTAGCTATATTAAAAGATGCTATACTGACTCTATCTGACTATATATTATAGGATATAGTATTAGCTATATTAAAAGATGCTATATTGACTCTATCTGACTATATATTATAGGATACAGTATTAGCTATGTTGAAAGATGTTAAACCGACTCTATCTGACTATATATTATAGGATACAGTATTAGCTATATGACTCTATCTGACTATATATTATAGGATACAGTATTAGCTATATTAAAAGATGTTATACTGACTCTATCTGACTATATATTATAGGATACAGTATTAGCTATGTTGAAAGATGTTAAACCGACTCTATCTGACTATATATTATAGGATACAATATTAGCTATGTTAAAAGATGCTATATGGACTCTATCTGACTATATATTATAGGATACAGTATTAGCTATATGACTCTATCTGACTATATATTATAGGATACAGTATTAGCTATGTTAAAAGATGTTTTACTGACTCTATCTGACTATATATTATAGGATACAGTATTAGCTATGTTAAAAGATGTTATACTGACTCTATCTGACTATATATTATAGGATACAGTATTAGCTATGTTAAAAGATGCTATATCGACTCTATCTGACTATATATTATAGGATACAGTATTAGCTATATGACTCTATCTGACTATATATTATAGGATACAGTATTAGCTATGTTAAAAGATGTCATGTTGACTTTATCTGACTGTATATTATAGGATACAGTATTAGCTATGTTAAAAGATGCTATACTGACTCTATCTGACTATATATTATAGGATACAGTATTAGCTATATTAAAAGATGTTATACTGACTCTATCTGACTATATATTATAGGATACAGTATTAGCTATGTTGAAAGATGCTATGATAGCTAAAGCTGACAAGAGTAAAGGATATTTGATAGATGGATATCCAAGAGAATTGGATCAAGGCCTTCGATTTGAAAAAGAAGTAAGATTTCTTTTATTCTGTAGCTAATTTGTTTAATCTATATATGATTTCAAAGATAAAAAGAAAACAGCTTTCTATTCATATCCATTTTAAATCAAAAGGGATACAACACTGGTGTATAATATATCAAAAGGAATTGTTGGTTCAAAGGCACTTATAGCACATAAACCAAATAATTATGATATTTTTTAATATTTACAAAATACACCTTTAAGGGACCAAAGATGCCTTTTAGATATGTTAAGACAATTTGACTAGCAGAAAATTATTTTTAAATATGTATTGATTTTAAGTATTTATTTTGTTTGGTATTTTTTTGATAGGTATGTCCAGCTCGTATTATGTTATGTTTTGATGTTTCTGATAAAACTATGACAGATCGTTTACTAGATAGAGCTAAAACTAGTGGTAGAGCTGATGATAATGAAGAAACTATTAAAAAACGATTACAAACATTTCATGATATCACACAACCTGTTATAGATCATTTCAACAAAGAGAACAAAGTTAGAAGTGTAAGTTTTATGAAAATTTAAAAAGTGTCTGCTTTATGCAACAAGTGGAAAAAAAGTTTGATGGATTATAATATAAATTTAAATATCCAGAACCTTTTATGGAGCCTTGTAAAAGTTGGGTAACAATTACAAAACTGTCATCAGAGAAGAGAATATGAACAAAATTGAAATCCTCAACCATTTGCTTGATCTCCAAAAAAAAGCCTTTTTGATTCTTTAAACATAGTAAGGTGAATAATGGAAATTAATTTACAGGTTAAAGCTGATGGCAGTGTAGATGAAATATTTGAACAAGTCACGAAAATATTCTCTGATTTAAATATTCAAGGTAAAAATTTTATAGATTTCTAACTGTTTAATATAAGCTCTTGAATTGTGATGTTTCTTAGCATCAAGACTGGAAAAATTAGATAAATGATATTTGTTTATGAACATGAATATATTCTTGAGGATTAAAACTGGTATAAAATCATGATTGTGTTGGTTATCATGCCTTTATTTCTTTCTTCCATATTTTGCTTTCGTTCTATAGAATGTAGTGCTGATTTTAAATTATCAGATGCAAAAGTTGTCTTTGTTGTGGGTAAGTAATCTTAATACTGTTTCAACAAATGGTTTCTTTAACAAATCTCATGTTGGCATGTGTTTTGTATATAAAATCCTCATCAGGACAGATAGTTTTGGTAATTGAATTGTTGAAGCAGAAATGTTTACGTATTATTTATTAAAATTTGTTTGAAAAATAAACACGATACAACTGCAATGTAATCTATATGGCCTGAATAATTGTGAAGGATCTTGTCCAGATCATGTTGAATTGGTGAATTGGTAAAATGTAAAATTTTATGTTAACTTGTTTCACTTTCAGGTGGACCAGGGAGTGGTAAAGGGACACAATGTGCTAAAATAGTAGAAAAATATGGTTTCTGTCATCTTTCTTCTGGTGATTTATTGAGGGCAGAAGTCAATTCTGGTTCAGAAAGAGGCAAGCAATTAAATGAAATAATGGAGAAAGGAGACCTTGTTTCACTTGTAAGTTGTCCTAAAAGAAGGTTTAGCATTTAATTGAAATCTAAAGCATTAAATTTAGATAGATATCTCTATTGATAGTAAATCATCTCTTTTCCTCTTTTGTCATATTTAACCTTTGAAGACCTGATACAGTGAAATTGTGATTAATGACATCCTATGAATCCCAGTCTGATGATAAAGTGATTTAAGTTGATATAATGTACAGTAGAGCATATAATAAGCAAAGTAAATCTCTCTTTCAGGATGAGGTTTTACAGTTATTAAGAGAAGCTATGGTTTCAAAGTCATCCAAGTCAAACTGTTTTCTAATAGATGGCTACCCAAGAGAACTGGAACAAGGCAAAAGATTTGAAGATGAAGTAAGTGTTTTATTTGTTGTTTTTTTTCTGTGATATTTTTTATGCATTCAATCATCAAACTAATCATCCTGTTTGGCCTTGAAACAACAGCTGGTTCTGATTAACCATGGTTCTGATTTACCTCTGATCTCTACCAGATGGTTCTAATTCACCAGATCTGATTGGTTCTGATCTACTAATTGGTTCTGATCTACTAGTTGATTCTGATCTACCAATTGGTTCTGATCTACCAGTTGGTTCTGATCTACCAGTTGATTCTGATCTACCAGTTGATTCTGATCTACCAGTTGGTTCTGATCTACCAGTTGGTTCTGATCAACCAGTTGGTTCTGATCAACCAGTTGATTCTGATCTACCAGTTGATTCTGATCTACCAGTTGGTCCTGATCTACCAGTTGATTCTGATCAACCAGTTGATTCTGATCAACCAGTTGGTTCTGATCTACCAATTGGTCCTGATCTACCAGTTGGTCCCGATCTACCAGTTGGTCCCGATCTACCAGTTGGTTCTGATCTACCAGTTGGTTCTGATCTACCAGTTGATTCTGATCAACCAGTTGATTCTGATCTACCAGTTGATTCTGATCTACCAGTTGGTCCTGATCTACCAGTTGATTCTGATCAACCAGTTGATTCTGATCTACCAGTTGGTTCTGATCTACCAGTTGGTTATGATCAACCAGTTGGTACTGATCAACCAGTTGGTTCTGATCAACCAGTTGGTTCTGATCAACCAGTTGGTCCTGATCCACCAGTTGGTCCTGATCTACCAGTTGGTTCTGATCTACCAGTTGGTTCTGATCTACCAGTTGGTCCTGATCTACCAGTTGATTCTGATCAACCAGTTGGTTCTGATCTACCAGTTGGTTCTGATCTGAATTTTTTAGATACATTTTTCATTTAGTAACATTTTTCTCGTGACTCTTTCTAGGTTGCTAAATGTACCTGTGTATTATATTTTGATGTATCTAATGAGACAATGACAAAGAGATTGTTAGAGCGAGGTAAATCTAGTGGTCGAGTTGATGATAATGAAGAAACTATTAAAAAACGATTACAAACCTTCCATAATCAGACAAAACCTGTTATAGATTATTATTCACAACAAGATAAAGTAGCTCATGTAAGTATTAAACCTGTATGTTAAAAGATTTTTAAAGAAAAAAAAGAAACAATCATTATGCTGATTCCAATACAGCTGTATTACAGCCTATTCTCAATATTTTACATGAAAAGTTTGGATAAACAAGATTTAATATAAAAAATTGCTGATTTTTAGATCAAAGCTGAAGGAAGTGTAGATGAAATATTTACAGAAGTAAAGAAGTTTATGGATAACCAATCTTGGTAGTTTGTGAGAATACAGACTGTACCAAGCATCAGAATATTTCTCACTCACCTGCGTGCTGTAATATATCTATAACTCCAATTTTATCTCATTTTTACCATTGCTGGTTATTTAATCATAAATACCAACTTTGCTCAAGTCTTTCAAGTTACATGTTTTTGACTTTGGATAGAAATTTCCCTTTTTTTAAATCTCCCTCAACAAAACAATTTTTGAAATTCTGATGGTCAAGGACCATCTTTCAATTTTTTTTATATTTTTTAGCATATTATATAATATTTAGACTTGGGACCTGAAATCATATATACCATCTCAACATTTGAAACAAGATGGTTAAATATAGTACATAGCTATATGGAAGGAATAACAATCACTGATAAAAATTGTACGCAACCTTTTGACATAATTCTTCTGTCTTTCTCAAGCACATATAATGATAGAAAGTGATAGACAAACTATTATACATTTTGGTATTTTATTTTTTAGAAAATATGAGATATATAGCATTTTATAAGTACATTTTATTAGTATCTTTATGTACAGTACAAGGTACAAAAAAAATGAGATACAAATACTGGTAAAATAAAAAAAAATAAAACAAAATGTAAATTAATGAAGATGGCTTAATGATGAAATGAACAGTTATTGATGTTTAATCTTCAAAGAGATTTACATTGTTCAATATAATAATTATATTGCAGCAATTGGAATATCTTTGTTAACTAGAAAATATCATATACAAACATGTATGTTCATATTTACATGTTACACATACATAAACATGGAATAGTTGCATACAACTTTGACTGGTGATTGAAATGTTAAGCTATATGACCGTTGATGGATACTTGTAAAAGATAATATTTTGGCAGTGGCTATTAATTAGTCCATCCCCTTACTGTCATAATAATTTTTAAAACTATTTATTATTAGTCTTAGTTTAATGTTTTCTGTTTTTTATCTTGTTATTTTTTCAAGCCAATGTGATAAAGAAAAACTGGTATACTTTCTTGTAGAATCTTTGTGCAATTTCTTTTGATGATTTTTGTTATTACTTTTTGCTGTAAATTTCTCTTTGGAAGTAACTAATTAAATTTCATTCTGCTTTCGAGCAGAAAGTGGAAATATTTCAAAATTAGCATTTCAAAATTTCAAAAAAAATTTTATCCTGTAAGTGTTAATTACATGGTTAAAAGTTTTACTCTTACTGTTGAGAGAAAGAAAAAAAAAGTATTTTGTTTCTTATATATTTATGTCTATCATGATCATCATTGGGATTGACTTTGTTGATATTTATAATATAAAACTAGTATTACCTAAATTATTTGTTATTTATAAACTTTAAATAAATAAACTTTATAACACCTAACTTGGGTTTTAATAGCCCACCATTAGCTTGAGTTCGTTCTTGTTGCTATAGTTGTTTTGGGGTTGTTCAATCCTTTTCGCTTTTTTATCGGCTATGTTTATTTCTATTCTGGATGTGAAAGGATGTGACTGTATATTATTGGCACCTAAATCTCTCCAGAAAATGATTCTAAACATCGCAGAATATAGAGCTATGTTTATACAGTCGAACTTGTTTTAACAGTCATAATTATGTATTCAGCACCACCCTTCAATGAACAGCCACCAAAAGTTCCCCACTTTCAATTTTCAATTTAACTCTATTAAGCATCACCCTCATGACGCAGCACCTTCCATTTTCTTGACTGTGAACACCCTTGAATAAGCAGTCAATTGTATATGTATATTCAAATATATCTTTGTTAACAAAATCGAATGTGTACGGAACCCCTTACGCGCACTTTTTCGTACTTTTATCAAATATTTCGTTTTAACGAAATAATTAATTCGTTAAAACGAACAATAATGGTGGTAAAAGTTAATATTGTAGAGTTTTTATCATTATAGGAATAATTTGTATTATTAGATAAAAGTGACAAAGAAGGTCATATAATATAATTTATTGAGGTATTTACACAGATATATTTTACAATTATTGTATTTTAAAGGAACACTGTTTTAACTTTCAGGATTCAACTTTAAATTCATATAAACATTGATGAGTTACACCAATATTGTCGGTGCCATATATTCTGATTATTGGTTCCATATCACACGTCATTATACTACCAGTCCACGTATTGCTTCCAGATTTTTCCATCGGTTCTAATTCAATAGACACTTCTTTTAAGGTAGATGATGTAAGCCGAAATTTGATTTCTTTGTTTGCGGGCAAAACTCTTTGTAATGGTTCTAAAAGCATGCAGTTATATTCGGCAGCTCCTGGATAATACATCGGAAATGGGTCACACTTTTCCAGACCTTTAGAACAATGTAACAGAAAATGTCCAATACAATCAAATCTTCCATTGTATTCACCTGGTCTTTGAGCAAACAAATTCAGTTCGTAGTAACCAGCCTTTGGTAATCGGGCACTTATTTTCATAGCGGAAGCCGTATAAGAACAGAAGACATATTCTTCCATATCTCTGGCGCTTTCAGTAGATCTCAACTGCATCAGGGTTATAACCTCATTACAAAGATTTAAACTTAAATCAAGGGTTCCGTCTTTAGATTCATATGAAGTATGCTTAAAAATATCTTCCATAAAACCATATTCAATACTTTCAGGACAGGCACCCCAAACACCAAATCGTTTAGGATATGGATTGACGTCAGTGCATACTTCATCACAACGTATACAGTATTCTGTTACTAAATCAAAACTTAATGTTTTAGCAGTCATTGGTAAAGCATAAATTTCTAATATAAATCTGTACTCGGCTGGTAATCTGATGTGAATATTGTAGGTCTCCATGTCCAACTTTTCACACAGAACAAACGTATCAAAACACTTTTTACTCTTCTTCTCTCGGAGGTGACAAGCAACATTTTTAACAATGTCTACTGGCGCTCGTAGAGTAATATCACATTCTCTCATGGCTTTAAAATAATAGTTCTTATGTGATAATTTGATCCCATGTAACAAGGCACCCGGTTCCACTTTGGCTCTTTTATTGAAATCGTCGATTGTTACCGGATCGGACAATAGCTGAAAAGTCTGGTTCATTTTTATAGACGCGTATTTTTTAGGAAAATGAGACAAAATAAAGTGTTTCGGTTCAGGTAAGAAGTAAAACTCCTGATAAAATGGTTCGAATTTCTTGTTACTGGCAACATGTCCACTACCCCATGTACAATCTACAGGCCACCATTCATTGTCTACCTGTACAAGGTTCCATGAATGTGATGTTTTACCTTTCATTTTAAATGGTTCATCAGGTGTATATCCATAACCTTTAGCAAACCCATTCATCTTCATACAAGGTATTTCAGCAGCACTGAAAATAGAAACAGCAATCCATATATTTTATAATCTAGAATGTTTCATGGTGTAAATTTATTATGTAAGGATATCACGTTTGAGAAAAGAAAAATGAACATGTTCTTGAATATTATTGAAAACCTCTCAAACTATTTGATGATACCTCGATAGTCATACCTCATCAGGACGTGGACGGACATTTTTTGAGATTATACCATGAAACAAACAAACTTTCCCAACTTACCGACACAGTTCAAGAAAGAGTTGACTGTAATGGTCACAAACACCCATTCCAGTCTCTAAAACCTGCCAACCTTCTCTTTTGGGGATTTTACCACTGAAGAAACTACCAGTATCATAGCTGAAAATGATTTTAAATTATCAAATGATTTGAAGGCACGTCTTTTTAATGTCCTAATTAGTTGCGAATCAAATGTGGTTAATTAGTTTAAATATAAAGTAAATGAAAAAAAGGTAAGACAATACCTGATATTATGGGTTATCCAAATATAAAATGCTCGAATCTTTTCCAGATCACATTTAGCTGGTTTGCTGAGGTGATACGAGAGATCTTCTGGTGTTCTGCTAGTTAGTTTTGGAGCCTGGAATCAAGGAAACAATCATGTTGTGAACCCTCAACATTCTCTATTTTTATATAAATAATGCTGCTAATCAATTGTACAGGCTTGGATGCATATGAAATTTATATTATTTAAAAGTGCATGTGGTAGCATCAGGAGACGATTTTTATATTTTTGAAATAGTTATTTCTCTCGTGGGCAAATATTTGAAAACAGGGTTTTTCTGATTACGAACTCTTGCGCTTATGAAATCTAAAAGAAACTTACAGATATCGAAATGTTATCAATTATTGAAAACATTTTTAGATCGGGTATTAGATCTTTCCTAGTTAGTGATGGAGGTCGAAATGGTGCACATCCCGGCAGTATATTTTCGATGTCTTCCTGTTCGGTAGATAGTGATTCTATTGATATACCATCTTCTGGTATTGAACTCCTTGTAGTTGGAAGTCGTCTTGGGGTATAATCTGGACTTAGAATGGTATCATGTTCTAAGTCATCTGGTAATGATATCTTTATAGCTGGTGTCGGAACCTGTGTTTTATTTTGGATATTGGTGTTTGTGTGAATATTAGAGTTCTTCTGGTTATTTGTGTTATTCTGGACAGTGATCAAATGGTTATTTTTCGCCCCCGCTTTCCAGCTCTCTGGCGCCTTTTCTTTATCCATAGAACTCCCGGCGCCCATTTTCAGTCCCTAGAAAATTATAACTGGCATTGTCAACATAATGATGTTACACTAATGTCTAGAATTCTGAAAATCACTTTCCTTACAAGCAGTATAATTAAAATGAAAAAAGGAAACAGTTAAATTTCCAGAATATTTAGGCTCTATTGTAAATTGAATTGGGAAATTCTGCTTTGACAATTTCTGCGACACAATTCAAACTCTTATCAAGAGCGTAAGAATTTTATATTACCCTATCTCCCGGATTCCAACATGGCCATTAATACACTGTTCTAAAACCACTCATTTTAATCTTCTCCATTTTTACCGAAATTTGAATCTGAATTTTGAAATGTTATAACAACTTACCGTTTGTGTATATTCTGCTATAAAATAATAATCGAAATTTGTAAAGCACTTTAAATTTCAATATACGACCATATTCTCGCTTATCCCTCTTGAAAATTTTTTCAGAAAATATCCAGAATTGAGACAACACAACTATCGTGTCTACCTTCCTTGGTTATGTCCTAGCAACAAACAAAACCAAGAATACTTATATAACTGATATAACTGACATAATCAAACCGTTAGTTATTGAATAGGACTATAATTAATTCAAAATAATAGGCTTAATTTGATTGCTCTTTGAGTAGATAATCCAATTATATCCAATCTTGTTTGTCCTTTATAATGTCATAATGAACTGGATATACTTATCAACGGGTCACAGAATGTCACAAGGAGAGACATTTACATGTCGAAGTCGCAATCCACAAGACAAAACCAGGAAGCTGAAGACCCAAATGAAATGAGACCAGCACCTATCTAATGTCATTCCGTTTGATTATGAATGACAAAACTTCTATGAAAACCATTCTAAAATACGAAAAACTAAATGCAGCACAGGGACAAGTTGAAATGGTAAAAGAGAAAGCGATTTCTGTCCAGTGCATTGCATCCGCCAAGTCTGCACCTACGACTGTGTGACCATCCCGGCTTTCAAACGTCCAAGCGTTTCGTAGTTGCAGAGATGACAATAGCCTACGTTTAATCAATGGACAGCATCAATAATATCAAGACCCATCTATATAAGCTTGTACTTTATTCAACGTTCAAACAAAACTCATACCTAAAATGGAAATTGATCTACATATTTTCCATTCTAGAAATCATGTTTAAGGTAGGTCTATCTCTTTTAATGATGACTGATACAACTTGTAATCAACTCGTATAGTTTTATCAATTAAAACAAACATTATGCCACTATGACATTAACGTCATCGCCTACTTTTATAATGAATCTATTACTCCCTTTATATAAGAATATGTTTGGGGGGATTTGTAATATGCCTACATGCTTTGCCTCACGAGTCTAAGTCTTCTTTATCCCGACCACAAACCACACTGTTGATATCAGTCGTGTTAATCAACTTGGTTTTCTTCTCGTTTGACAAAGTTACATCCGATTTTGATTTATAAAAATACTGATAAAACAGGTGAATTGGTATAATTTTACAAAGTAAAACTTAGGGAAAGGTAACCAGCAAAAATTGTTTTCTCTTATAAAAATAGATTCTATTTTCTCAGTTTGTGAGACAAAAAGTGAAACAATTTCCTTCTATTTTCTAAAATAAAGGCTATTTTTAGGGGCATTCTACTTTTTTGTAAAAAGTTTTCATTATCAAAAACGTTGTAAATTATACCTGAAAATAATTCTATTTATGTATTTATATCTATGTATCTTCTTGTTCAAACTGGATTTGTTTAAAAAGGGTTAACAGAGAGAACTAAATACTAGAATACGTAGGAGGCATATTTCTCTACGTAAGTCCGTACAGTAGTTTTCTTACAGCTTTTAAAATGCATAACGATCTTAAAAACCTTACATATATTTTAAAATATTTTTGGCGTTTAAAAATTAACGCCTGGAATTTTTTTAGTTAAAACTTACAGATACGTTAAAGGGCACATTTCTCCATGTTTTGGTGTATAGTTTTCATAAATTTGAAAAATTTGAGCAAAAAAAATTTTGATCTACAATAAAAGCGGAATGTCCCTTTAAGTGAAAATATCTAAGGTTGCTCTAATTTCTAACCTATTTATGAGATTTATGCCCAAAAACTTGCTTTCAGGGCTGCGAGGGGGTGGGGGGGGGGAGGGTGGGGGGGTCTGCGCCTCTTAGAACCTAGGGGACATTCTAAGGATATTTTTAAGATTTAATTAATATGAAATTTATTATAAACCACAATATTGTCGACATATTATAAGTGACACACCTTCATTTGACGTTTTAGCCTAGATATTATCATTAAGAGACATCATAGACGATACAAGGTAGATTTAATGTTGTAGCCCAAAGGAAGATGACCTCACTTTTGATTTTGTCAATAAGTTATTTTGTTAATTACTAGTTAAATAAAAATACCAATTATTTTGACAAGTTAAACATCCTATTTTTAAAGTTGATAAGTCTACGTGATTTCCCAAGAAAATAAAATCATAAAAAACACAATTTATTGTTTCTTGTGCACGCAAACAATTTGAACAAGTGAAGTAATTGGAGTAATGGAAGAATCTAGACTATGGTAGGTTATAATTAATTATTAAAGACTGCTGTATAGGAATGTTTTTTTGAATCGTATATCTGTTATATAGTAGTGAACAATGTCATACCACACCAGTTAAATTGAAAATCAATGATATTTTATACACCACATTGATACAATTCAGTTAGAATTCGACAGCTGACTCAATCAACCGTTCAATTTTGAGTTTTGAGTTAAATGGCTAAAGGTGATTTCATTTTATATATATCAGTATACCTACCAAATTATCATTAATTCGGTCGAAAGCACGTTACCTTGTATATTATCTACCAAAACTTTTCCGATGAATACACACATAGGATTATTTCCACCCATTTCGGCTTCCATATGTGGTGGGCAATGTTGCAGTTTTCTGTGGACATAATCAGCAGCAATTAAAGTGTAGGGATAAGGTAGGAGGCGTGTGGAGATGGGTATAGTTGACAGTTATTGTGAAGGGTGATCCCAACAGCCATTTATCATATACTACTTTCACAATTTGCATTTGTCTCTTACAATTAAATGACCATGGAGCAAATGGTGGGGCTAATTCTAAAATTCTAAAAACTAAAATTCAGTCCAAAAGAAATCGTAGACTTTTGCTCCTTTTTCTGCAAAATTGAAAGGTCACTGAATCTAATATATTACAAACTAGATATTCTGTGAAATATCTCGTAAGTATGGAATATGACAGCGACCCTATGCTCAGATGTTATTTTTGAACAAAACAGATCTATGCTTGATTAATATTAACAGTAACCATAAACAAATTGTACCGCCTTCACTTTTCAATGATGTATCAATATAGAGGTAGTTATAGCTTAAATTGTAATTAAAAGATATATTTTGATAAAAAATCAGTGTATGTAATAGTCCTAACAGGCTTGCATAGAACACCAGCTGACACGTTCCTTTGTAATCAATTGAAAATCACATATGTGGTTAAAGAGAAACACCATGGTCAATAATTTTTAATTCCCATATAAAATTACACCTTTCCTCATTCAATAATACTTTGTTTGATCAATTTGAACTCAGGTATCACCAACACGCAATCAACATTTCATGGCAAAAGATCGAATTTGTTGTTTACGTAGTCATAGTAATAGATTATCAATCCAACCAAAATCTCATTCTTTTCATGACAAACTTGTGGTTGAAAATAGATCTTTAACGAATTTTTTGAGTTCGAAAAATAGCTGTATGTACTGTATATTATTAGGCAATGAGACACGTAAAAGGACATGTAAATTTAAAAGATATCAAAAATTTGTTGATTGGTGAGAAAAACTATAAAATCTACTACGTGAACACATGGCATATTATTTCCGTTGACAACAGCAGTAATATTAATTTATTTAAATTGTGGGATATAAGGGAATTACAGTATGAAATAGAATGAGTGAAATTAGCCAGGTATGTGTTTAGTTATTTTCATGAATCACCAATTCTTAATCTGACATCAATCAATCGTATTACAGGTATGTTTCTGAATTCGAAACAACAGCAGAACGTACAGTGAGATCATATTAGGAACACGAGACCTTTTCAAATTGCTTTGCTTACATTGAGTTGTTGAATGAAATAAGATCCATTATACTGGACTTGAAATATTACCAAGAGTAAAATATAATATCGATAGTATGGGTGCGATAATAACAACCAAAATAATACGTAGTGGAAAAGTATTAGTAGTATTAGTTCCGGTGTCAAGTTTACACCAGGAATTTTTTGTTGTAATAATCTGTTCTTCTATTGTATTCAACATAGTTTGTACTCTTATAGATAGTGTTGAGATCGACTATGACAATATGACAGGTTTAAAGGCAGAATAAATATGAGTAGAATGTTGATAGTTGAAGTCGTTCATGTGAGCAACTCCTTTTAAGGCGCCAATAACAACGCCTAGCATGGTTAAGTCATTTGCGATTATTTCTCTTGCAGACACTTAAAGTTTTTTTTTTCACAATTACTGACGCATTAATTGCACTATGATAATGGGTGATTATTTGGTTATCGGACTGAAGATTTAAACCATTCGGATATATACTGTGTCCAGCTGGTCCATCCAATACCTCTTGCGCTGTAATCTTCTATGTTTTCAATGGAGTGGTCGGGGAGTTTAAAGTGATTCGCAATCTATCTGTTTTTGTCATGTACTATATCGTAGCGATGGTCACTAAAACGGGTTATCAACAAAGAAATTATGTATACAACATATTAAATTTTGGTCAACGCAATAAAGTAGGTCACTCATATGGAAATTTTTGCCAGTTTTTGTTTTGAAAATAATGAGAAATTGGTACATGCATGATCGCAGGTACCACTCGCAGAACCTCCACATGGTATCCAAAGCCATTAAAAGGAGGAGGGAGGTTACCCTTCTTTGAAGGTACAAAAGTGTGTAGTTTTTAATTTGGAGCAAGAAACGTTTTGATTAAGCCCTTTCTCGTAATATTTATCAAAGACAAGTCATCACGCGGAATCAAAATCGGTCTGTTTTACAAATTCTATAAAATCTAGAATTTGTAATTGGATAATGCCAGAAAATGCGTTTTTCAGATAAAACGAATATTTAAAATAAAAGTTGGTGGGTATCGGTCTCTTTAAAATACACCTTGATATCAAGCTCACCAAAATTGGTACCTTGAACACTGTCGTGTCCAGGAAGATCATATTCGCGGTTAATTTTACTGATGGATGATGGTTATTCAGAATTTCAGAATACTGCCAAAAGTTCTCAAGAGATTCAGATTCAATGTCGCCAAGAAATCTTCTATAGAGAAACCAAAATTCTAAAAATATCATTGATTTTTGACAGTTCTATGAAAGTTGGTCTCTCAAGTTTGCGATAATGATGTGCTTTGATAAGAAATTTCAGAAATGAAGTCAACGCGCTTGTGTATGACACAACAACTGCCTTTGTCGTTTTTCGGATGATAATGTTTTGATCGTTTTACATTTAATTTAATGTTTTTCTCTCAAAATTGGTAAGATTATTCTTCTCGTTTACTATTGCAAACCGAGAAACTGAACATGTTTTCTTGAAACTGAAGGTATATAGAAGAATTTTCATCATCGTCTCAACACGATCTTATAGGCAAAAATAAGAACTCGGACTTGCATGATATTATACGATTCCTGAAAAGGTCATTCTTTGAATCATCTTTGGTTCACTTATTATTTATATATTATTTATAAGTTGATATCTAACTTGTGTTAATCAATATCTAAATGATCATAAACACGGGTAAATACATTTTACAAATTACTTGCAAAAATGTCTTTTTCCTCAAAATAATAGAACAGTCATTGGACATTCCATCAAGGTTTTATATGTGACTTTCATAATGAGTTGTATTGGGCAGTTGTAGCTGAGATCTGAGGATACAATAGGGGGCAGATGACTAAATGGTCAAATATTGGAAAGCTCTGTTTGTAGTGGAAGAACATAGGCCCAAGCCTCCCACGGAGCGTGTTCTCACATTTGTTGGTGTGTTCTGGCACATATTTTGGAACAAAAACGTATAAAGTTCCATTTCTGAATTTGTTGTAGCTGTAATTATGTAGGGCTGGAATTGAGAAATTGAGGGTGCACCGTGACTCCGCCTCACCCTCCACTCACGAACGATGAAATACATTTTCAGAGCGAATCTATAACTATTATTATCAAGCGCTTCAGCATTTATTACTTTGAATAATATATATCCAGACTTCGACAATTGGTTTTATCAATTCTATCTTTTAACAAAAAAAGTTTTTTTTAAACAAGTAAGTCATATAGACTGATCAAGAGGCGACAGCTCGCGCTTTCGATCAAGCATTAAACTAATTAATTGTCCCTACAATGATCCTTCAAACAGTAACTGAAATAAATGAAATATTCCGTCAAAAGTTTTAACTATTGAGGACGATATAGTACTCATAACTACCCATATGTTTGCGCTTCATACTGTGTTAAAACCAAGAACCTAAAATGAGGAACGCAAAATAAATAAAAAACGATTCGAAAATGAATAACAGTAAACGCGTATCAGAGTTTGAAATGTTCAAAATGTTTGTGTTTCGACATCTAGCACTTGACAAACTTCCTCTATACTCCTGACTATACGATTTTTTAAAATTTGATGAACGATTCGTCTACAATTGCAAAATTGTATAATAAAATTTATAATAGTGCTTACGTTATTTATCTAGGAAACGGCGATAACCTAAAAGGCATGCTCTTTCAGAAATTATTTTAAACATGACTCCTGCTGTCAAACAACAATTAATTTAGTTCAATTATGAAATGACGTCTGATTCGACGCCTCGAGAACTATGTCCCCTCCTCTAGAAATCTAGTTAACCCAGATGGTATACAAAATAACATGTATGAATATATTCAGAGAATTTTATCACTATAGTAAAAATATGATTCATGTGACTTTAAATGAAGTTTAATTTATAAGATAATTAAGCAAGAACAATAAACATTGGAATATAATATATACCTATACTATTTAAACAAATATAATATCTAGTTTTTCATTCATGTTTCAGAGCTGTAAAATGGATTTAATTTTCCTTGCATTAAGTGTGTTGTTTATATCTAACGCCAATGGTAAGCAAATAATTAATTTAATAATTCCTTTTAATGATTTGGATTCTTCTTTCTTTTTTATACGTCTATGTTAACATTCATGTATAATGTGTTATACGCCCAGGTTATATTATACTTCCACTTCCTTATAAGGTATTATACGTTTGAGTTATAATCCACGTTATAATTTATTATACTTCCACGTTATAATATGTGTTACACGTCCACGTAAAAATGTATTATACGTCCACGTTAAATGTGTTATACGTCCACGTTACGTGTTATACGTCCACTTTCTAATGTGTTATAGTACACGTTAGTTGACATATTCAAAATTTGTCTGTGAACACGAAGCTACTGTTTTGGTTGGATTTTGATAAAAGGCGGAGGTTTTTTTTATTCGATTGATCTCTGTCAATGTAATGTCGTCGTTACCAAGTAGGTGATGCATAATACATTCAAAACATTTTCAAATACACAATGGGCTTAATGAACTGTGGTCTATGAGGAATCATGAATGCGTTTTCGTTCACTTATTTCAAACTGTTTAAGACCTTGTAAGTCCAAAGCAAATTTGCACTTATTATATCGGTATCTATCTAGAACAGATTTGATGTTCGTAATAGTCGTATAAAAGGGTCTTGTAAACAACCAAACATAATGTATAAGCTTAAGTATTATTCATTTTTCTGACGAATAAACCCCGCCTGTATTTAAATATATCAAAACAAATTATCATCAGGGCGTCTAAAACTCATAGAGTCTATCTTTTCCCGTTCACAATAATTCAAATTGCATGGTCTATGATAATAAAACGCTTCAAAACTTTCAAAATAAAATCAAATCGAATCGATTAATCTCGAAGTCAAAATAACTTTTTTTCATATCAAAGCGCAATTTAATACAAATTCTGAGAGATATCTATAAATTTCTATCTTAGAGGGTACCTTTAATACACCAAAGATACAGATCTTTGAAATGTGAAATGAACTATTTTTTTGTGTGTACTTACTAGAAAGAATATTTTATCTGCGATTCGTCTTTCTTTTTCTTCTTGGTGAAACTGGTACATGTATTACCTTTAAGGTTGATTCTGGTAGAGGGTGAGCATTACTTTTATTTAATTTCCCTTTTCATTTCATTATTTCCTTTTTATAAATCTAAATACAGCTTACTAGTAGTCTAGTTTGAGATGGCTACAACACCTGTCCTGTCAGAGAATTATATTACGAGCTTCTTAGAATTACTGTTATGGTATTTGTAAGAAGTTTATATCATATGGACTTCGGGAGTCTGCTTTCTAGATGTCACTATCTGATGTATTTCAGATGATAAAGTCTGGTATACAAAGCGCTTTCTATTGATAAGATTTCCCTTTGGCACCGACATTATTTTAGATCTGAGACTTTTACTTGTTGGCATGGGGAAGCCTAAAATTGATATGTACCGACGAATTAATGAATATTATGAACATTAGTATTTTAAACATTGTTGTTCATATTGTTCCTTAAATAAAGTTTAATTGTTTCTTCTATTACAGCTTACAAGATTACTGGGCTGTGTCATAAACCACAACTAAATCCTCGTCCTAAAGAACATGGTTACTGCACTCCAGATGACAAACATATATTTAAGAAATATGGTTATAAAGATGATGGTATACCAGCAGATCTTTCTGGCTTTCAACCACATTTACTACATGAATCTTCAATTGTTCGATATTTTGATGAACTTGGAAAATGGAAATTTCTAGCAAGTGGGTCATACGCGGATGTATATGAGGGCGAGATGGCCGAAACCGGTGTTAAGATCGTTATTAAACAATACGACGACTCTTCAGAGTTCCAAGACGTTAATATGGAATGTAGATTGTTAATGTATTTATCTGAAACTGGACTTTTTCCCAAATGTTATGGATTATTGGTATCAAGTAATGAGCTCGCTATAATTTCCATCATATTGGAGCATGTGACTGGAACAGAAAACCTCCGGGATGCTCTTCACAGGAAGGATATTTCCGTATATCAATGGACGTTGATACTAGAACAAGTAGCACGGTATCTGAAGTTGCTGCATTCTAAGTACGTTCTTCATAATGATGTGAATAGAGGTAATATTCTAATTAAATGGAACGGATCAAAACCAAGAGTGCATATGATAGATCCTGGTATGGCTACCTTTAGACACGGCAAATATTCCTCAAAACCAACCGATGCTAATAGAGTTTATACATTCTTTGACCCAACATCAGAATACTTTGAGAGTGACCCTGCTAATGAAATTCATGGATTTGGTTATCTGTTGTTGAGATTGAATGAGATGCACCCTAATGAAGACTGGAATATATTAAGACAATGGTGCCGAAAACCCAACCGTGATGACAGACCTACAACTGATGAACTTATTCACAGGCTTCAAAGTCTTCAAATCAAATACAGGAAACTTGAAAACGACTTGTATTATAAAAACACTTTTAATGAGACGAAAGAAGTAATTCGAAAACAATTTATGACCGTTCCAATTCCCGTTATAGATGTATTCAAACTGAATCCGTTCCCGGATGTTCACGGTAATATACGATTTATTTCATATTCCACAGATCACATGTCATATAAGGCTAATTACAACGGTTCATTGGTCATGGTACATTTGTTTGTTGGCAAAAATAGTTTCAAATCATCTAGGAATGAGGCTTTAATCAATATGTTTGCAGAACCATTTGGATTGGTTCCTAAATTTATCGGCCTTTGTTTCTATAATAATGAACTGGATGATGTAGTTTTAGTTCAAGAGTTCCTTCAAACTTTGACAACTTTAGATATAGCTATCAGCAACCATAGCGATAAATGGACCCTGAAAGATCGTAGTTTAATAGCTTGTGAAATTTCCAAATCTGTGTTATTTTTTCACGATAATAATATCCTGATAAATGGTATAAACCCTGGTAACATTCTACTGAAGATGGATGGGGGTTATCCTGTTATAAAATGGTCAGATCTTGGAGAATGGAGTGATGGTGCTGGTACTACGCTAATGTCAACACACAGATATCACGCTCCGGAAGTACAAGCTGGACACGTTACGTCTTTTGAATCTGACGTTTACAGTGTTGGCATTATTTTTCAAGATCTATTTAAATATTCTATGAACAGTTTACTCCAATCGTGTATGAACATATCAAAACGTGTGCGACCCACTATGCAAACTTTAACAAACCATGTCTGCGATGATAGTTACAAACAGTAATTATTGATAAGAATATATCATTCAATCATCTTTGATATACTTCCTCATGGGAAAAGTTCATGCGTTGTTTTGGATTTCGGGTTTCGTTAAGCCATTCGGGTCTTTAGTTCATGATTTTTTTAGGTATAGACTTTTAATAAATATGTTAAAAACTGTGAAGGTGTTTTAATTAAAAGTTTTAAACAAACGAGCTTTTAAATTGCGTCGTTACCTCGTCCGGAGCGGTACATAGTAAAACCTTGTAGCCTTGTCTGGTCATTCAGGTCACCCTTTTCTAAAATTAACTTTGCAATAATATTTACACTCTTCATACACATATCAAGTATCAAGTGTAAAAACAAGATATTAGCTACTTTAAAGTGTTTTCTGTTGTGGCGTGTGCTTAAGTCAAATACTCTTTTACTTGATATTTCTGAACAAAACCGGTGAATTAGTCCAATTAGTAGGTGTTTTTCTTCGAACACTTATGTAAGTAACATTGATACAGGCCAATTCCATAGGCATCACACATGATAATTATAACAAGTAAAATTTAAATAATCTTTTTCAGGATTCCGACTAAAGGACACGGGAATATGTAACAAGTATAATTTTGGTTTGACTCCAAAGAGAGTCAATACTTGTGTTCCCGATGATAAGAATGTAAACGTGTTTAAGAAATATGGTTATAAAGATGATGGTATACCAGCAGATCTTTCTGGATATCAACCTTATTTACTACACGAATCTTCAGTAGTTCGATATTTTGATTTACATGGTGAATGGGAATATTTGAGTAATGGAACGTTTGCAATGGTATATACGGGAGAAATGCGAGTATCCAAGGAAAAAGTAGTTATCAAGCAATTTACACTTCAAACAGATATTTGGGAAATTGAACAGGAATGTAAAATATTGATGTATTTAGCGGACACTGGTTTTTTCCCTAAATTTTATGGTTACATGCCATCCGGTCCTTCACTATATAATCTAACTATCATACTTGAACATCTTACTAATACTGAGGGTATCGCTGTAACCTCTGAACGACCAGAAGTGTCAATGTACCAGTGGTGCCTGATATTTGAACAGTTTTTACGTGCTCTAAAAGTTATGCATAAAAAATATGTTTTACACAACGACTTACATCGAGAAAATATATTAATTAAGTGGAATGGTTCGGTACCGAAACTCTATCTCATAGATACTGGCTTCTCAACGTTTCGAGAAGGTACCTATCAGTATATGAGTAGTGCTACATTAAACCGATATCCTTTCTTTCCACAAGAGTCAGTGAATTTTGAAAGCAATCCATCGATGGATGTGTATGGGTTCGGTTACGTCGTTAATAAGGTCAATAATCATGTACTTAGCGAAGATTTAAAGATCATAGCTGATTGGTGTGCACAAAAATATCCAGAAGACAGACCTACAACAGATGAACTATTAGATCGATTCAAAGCACTCAAATTGAAATATAAAAATGTGGGAAGTGGTTATACAAATAGCATGAGTGGTGTTCTGCCTAAAAATGCGCATCAATTGCCGTTCCTAACTAAACCCATTCCAATACTTCTATTAGTAGATATAACACCAATGCCTAGTATATCGGATACAAGTGAATGGTTAGCTATAGATGAACAACATGGTTCTTATAAAGGCGTGTACAGAAATAAATCAGTTGTTATCCGATTGTATTCAAATAGAAAATTTGCTCAAATACGTCACGAGGCTGCTATTAATTTGTTTTTTAATTCTACGGGTTTAGTACCACTGTTTTACGGTATGGTTTTCTATGATACCTCAATGAGGGACACGGCGATAGTTCAGGAATACGTTGTAAACAGTACCTCATTAGCAAAAGCTATTGAGCGGAGCAATTTAAATTGGACGGATGTTTACAGAAAGTGTATAGCATGTAATATATTGAAATCAATAGAGATATTTCATAAAGAGCATATACTAATAAACAATATACAGTCTTCCAATATTTTATATATTAATAACGGAACTTCACCTTCCGTTAAATTCATTAATTTACATGACCATAGTGACACTTCCGGTCTCCTTCGTGATGAAGATTCAGAAATTCCAATATATGCAGCACCAGAAACAGTCCAAAACACATCCACATCTTATTTTTCTGATATTTATAGTACATGTTTCATATTTAAAGAATTGTTTAATCCATCTGAATGCACAATTATTAATGAGGTTATCAACTATTGTTTGACTTCAAAACCGAAGTCGAGGCCGTCTGTAAAAACTCTCATGGCTCTCCTGTGTCATACAAGAGATACATAATGATAAATGTGTTAACTATAAAAATGACATTGAAGTGATCTGTGTATAGTTTTTTTGTGGTTGAAAGCTGTTAAATGTATTCAGCATTTGGATAGTACGTGTATTCTCCAACCCGACAAACGTCTCCAATTGTAATGTGGAATTCACAAAGCATAAATGTGGATTAGTCCCTTTAGTTTGGAATGCTTAAATCAGTATATTCTTTTTTATCCTAATGTGGATACCGAGATTAGCAAATGTGTGTTATGTCACTCATAATGGGGTTTATATTTACGTGCATTCTATTATTCATTCATTAATTAATAAATCTATTCACTTCAATTCTTTCACGTGCTAACAAAAATTGATATTTAACCGAACCCGAGAGATATTAATTGATCTCTATTCCCAAACAGGACCTTGATCTACAGTTTCAAAATGTTACAAATAAAAGTCAAGCTCACTGGTTGATTAAATGACTAGTCTTGCATACACGAGTTGTGTCCCTTATTTCATTATACGATGACATGCCGGTTTATAAGTCAGATGAATCACTTTCCTCTGGATTGTATTGTATTTCAAACACTTTCCTATACAAAAAATATCATTAAAACCCATTGTATGTTTCATCCTATGTATATTGGTCACAATAATATGGTGACAATACAGTACATTATATCCAATGGAAAATGTTCACAGAGACCAAATTACTGTTAACGATTTGCCGGTGAACACATTTCAATGGACCAATTTGCCAACATCTGGAAAAAAGGAGCTACAAGAGACAATATCAGAAAAATTTGCCTTTCATTACACATTTCATACACAGTACATAAGAATAACACATTCATAACTTCAACCATGTAGCAATCAGATAAAACAATATTACAGGAAACGCATAGTCTTAGTATATAAAGACTACAAAAACAAAAAAAAAAACAAAAAAGCTTGCATAATCTAATTAAGATATGGGATATCTCATGTTGTATAATGCAATATATATATTGACATAAAAAAAATAACCAACAAGTAACAACTTATTTAAAAGTAAAATTGCGACAAACAAACAAATAAATTGAAACAATATCATAAATAAATATTTTTATATAATAATTTTGTTCAATTTATTACATGATACTTTTTTGTTATGGTCATGATCAGTACCTGTGGGCTGAAAATCTACAGCTACAATATAAATCATCATAAAATTTCTAACAAATTTATACTCAAAACGAAAACACAAATGGTTTGTAGCAATTATTTCAATAAGGATTGTTAGATATAAACATTTACTAAAACTTATACTAAGGCATAGGTAAGTACGTTTTCATGTGGAGCAAAAGTCCTTTTAACCTGTATCAGTTATTAATGGGCAAACAATAAGGAAAATCATTAACACAGCAGGTTGCTATGTGACGTTTAAGAAAGTTGAATCTTTTGAACACTTCTTGACATTTAAAGCATTGAAATTTTGTTTGTTTAATACACTGATTATAGTGCTTGTGAAACTGAAAAGTACATTTATAAATTTTAGTACAATTTGGACATTTATACCTCCTTATTTTATAGTGTCTTTGAACATGCTTTGTATAGCTAGAATTAGTTAAAACTAACCCACAAATATCACATTTTAAATAATTTTGTCTAACACATCCACACTCGATTGATTCGCCATTTTGAAGAAAACGATTAGAATGTCTACACAATTTAGTTTTATCATACAATACTTTAGGGTCTGGTCGTTTCATTAATTTAGATTTTGGTTCTGCACTGAAACATTGATACTTTAATTCTAGTGCCTTTCTATTTGAAATAACACTTTTGTCTGAATCAGAACTGCAGTCCTTGGCACTCCTCTTTGAAGAAGTAGAGTTAAGACAAACACTGGATTCATTTTCAAAATTGAAAATGTCATCAATTCTTGTTAATTCTACTTTCACTGCAAAACTCTTATTAGAATTTTCTAATGTGTCTTCCTCGTTAAGGCTTATTGACTGAAACTTGTCCTTTTTTGGAGTAGGCCTTCTTTGTTTTGTTTTCAGTCTAGTAATGTCAGCTGATTGTGTTATACAAGAGCCATGAGACTCAGACACTGGCTGCCCAAAAGAGCTGGAAATTTTCTCATTCAAACTCGTTGGAGGGCTAAATCTAGGCTGCACATGTTGCATTGGCTCATCTAAATCTGTTGGTTCCTTTTTGATTTTCACAATCCCACAGCCCGAAAATTCTTTCTTGATTTTCACAGTGTGGACATTGGAATGCTGTTCTGTAATGTTGCCAAGGTGATCATTTGAAAGTTCAGCAGGTTTCTGTTCATTATCCCCTGTATAATAATTATTAGGTTCTGGCTTACCAGAAGGTTCTCGTTCATTTTCCTCTGCATAATAATCAGTAACTTCTTGATCAAATACCTCTGCAAAATGGCCAGAGGGTTCCTGAACATTTTACTCTGAATAAAAACCAGAAGATTCCTGTAAATTTTCCTCTGCATAAAAACCAGAAGGCTCTTGATCACTTTGCCTTTTACAGTTACTATCAGGTTCCTGATCACTTTGCCCGTCATTGTAACTAGAAGGCTCCAGTTTGATTTTCACATGGTCATGATGTAAAGGTTTGGATTTGATATTAATACTTTTAGAGGTAGAGGCTGAAACTGATGATACAATTTCTGATTTTAATTCATTTTCAATTTTAATATTTTTCCTGACAGATTCAATACCTACACCCTTAAAATTGTTGTTAGTGTGTGTGTCACTATTTTCATTGTTATTAGCAACATTAGTCTTACTTTTATTTAAGTGTTTCTTGACTAAACTCATTATATTAACCATAGGCATACTATCTGCACTAGTTTCACAAATTTGTGTTTTGTTCTGTTTAGAATTTTTTCTAGATATTTTTAGAATTTTTGGCCATGAACTTCGAGATGAATCACTAGACTGAGGCTTCCTTTTATTACCATCGGGCTCAGTTTCCTTGGCCTCCAATGTTTCTATTTCTGGTGTAACATCATTCCATTTTAAACTGAGCGGATCTTGCTCAAAATAGAATTCCCTTCCTGTACACTTTTCAATGATATGCCTTCGTTTATTAGACTTCCATTTTGGAAAGGAACTAGCAGTTACTGGGGTTGTATGTGAATTCATCATTGTACTCAACTCAATGTCTCAACTTATTTTCCTGGAAAGACACAAATTTGAGTCATTCACATTGCGAATTAGATTTTTGAGGTAGAAAGGTGAATTGGAAATTAAACTACTTTCTAATTATAACCTTATAATAGTACATCACGAGTATCACTATTTTAAACTTCAGTCTTGAACTAGTTTCATATCGTAAATGAGACTACTGGTCTCAATACCATCATGTCCCAAAATAACAAGCTTGATCCTCCATTTTGTAGGGAAAGATAACTCTCAAATCCAGACAACGAATGAATTATTTGGACTCACTCCACTAATTCATTTGCCATCTCTTCCCATGTTAAAACACGAAATTCAACCTTCTACAACTTTTTCCAGAAATCTCGTTGAAAGCTTTCCAACATGTCGAATGAAAGCCTGACCAATTCTCAATGTCTCCTAAAAAATTCATTATATGATGACCATGAAAATTTTGAGCTACTAAAATTGAAAGTAGACTACTACCGGTTATACTCATCCGCTAGAGTTTGGCACTTCACAAAACGACTATTTTTAGAATTAGCCTTCCGCCTTTAAGTCTCTCATTATCTCACCAAATCTGAAAGATAATGCAATTTCAGACATCAAATTCCAAATCTAGACCAAATTTTACCCAAAAATAGGCAGGCAAAAACCCCAAAAGGGAGAGAGAAAGAAGATTTCTAAAAATAGCCTGGACTACATAGGTAATACAATCATTTGCATAAAATGTTTTAGTGGAGTGAGTCCATTTACTTGGTTGGTTGGTTGGTAGATGACAAGTTAACGTTCGCTTCCAGCGGATGCTGATATCGCAAACTAGGTAGTTGTTGGTAGTCGTAGTAGTTGGTAGTTGGATTGGATCAAATATCCATTTACTTGCTGTCAGAGCCGTATATAGAGGGAGTCTGGCCAACTACGTCACAAGGCGCCATCTTGTTACCCTCTCTTAGCTACAAGGCGGCCGACGTTATCCCTCGTAAACGCTCTAGAATTTACAGTTTTTAACCGATTTTGATAAAATTTGGTATGTCTATACAAAAACACAAAAAGAAGGCAAATTTTGAATTTTAGCACTTTCCAAATATTAACCACCGAAATATTAAACCTGTAATCTTCCATATTAAAAAAGCTAGGGCCTAGCTGCTATATGGAACAATAGGCTAATCACTAGTTATAGTTTATGCAACATATTTATAAGTAATATAATGTATAATATCATTCATATTGTTTTTGATCAATAGGCCCGTGTGCCTGACGACTGTCAAAACGGTGCATAAACTATAACCGATGATTTTTGTTACATAAAGCTTTAGAATATAGTGAAGTTAGTATAAAGGACTGAACTCCATCTTTGTCGAAGAAATTTAGTCATCATGAAAATTGCTCAAAGCAAGATGTGCACTATAAATCGTTATCAACAGAAACAGGCCCGTAACCAGACCAATGTGCCAAGGGGGGCGAATGCATTTGCACGGAGGCTGAAATAGCTGATAGAGACTGATTTCAGCTTCGATTGAGAACTTGTTTGAATTTTGCAGTGGAGAAAGTTTTCATATCTATTATATCCAGTTTTTAGACCTGAACATAACACGATTTGCAAAACCCCTGAAATCATCGAATGTACTTACATCGCATAGAAAAGAGTTGTCGTGGGGAGTCCAGTCGGATCGTTTGACCTTTACTTCCCATTCTCTGCGTCTCCTTTTATCCTTAGGGAACCTGTGCATCACTATACCTTCTCCAGATTTGACAGAGCATTTCTATGCCACACATCGAAGCATTCTGTTGCCAGACAAGACCAGGAATTAGGCTTAAACAACGTAAAGAATACCCAGGCTCCTACGCCTAAACGTCGCGGGAAGGGTAACAATATGGCGGCCTTCAATCACGTGACCGCTCTGCGCCAATCATGGTTCAGCGCGGCGAGATCACAAGTTGGCCAGACTCTCTCTATATACGGCTCTGCTTGCTGTCTGAGCCGTATATACGGCTCTGGTTGCTGTATTCGTGAACACTTCCATTATTAAATAATGCAGGATTTGTTTTTACTTTTTGTTACATACAGACAAAATTCAGACTTGCTGCCGTTTGATTTTAATATAGAGAATTAATATTTTTCTCTTAAAATGCATGACTGGGCAATGACAGTCACTTCATGTAGCCTAAATGTCAAGTAGTTACAAAGCAGGATAACTTGTCTACAACTGACAACAGTTTTCCATCACAGTGGTGTAACCTATTTTCGTGCATATAAGGATTCAACATTGAATTTCGTCAAAGTTACAAAAACGAATTTTTTTTTTATGTATTTATCTTTAATATCAATTCATTATAACTAGTGATAATTCCTTCAAAGAACCATGATTTAAAAAAAAAATAGTGACTGACAAAATAAGAAATGTAGCGTGCTAAAAGTCACTGAAATAACATAAGAATATGGCCCACTTTGTGTTCCATAGAAATTTTCTGCTGACACAGAATCCGCCAGTTGATCACGTGACTTCATTCGTAGGACTACATTCTAGCAGACTTGGAATTCCGATTACCGCTTGGGATTATAAGAAAATTGGGCTGATAAAAAATGGTGACGTTTGGTTATAACTGAAATCCGCCATTTTGTAATTTGTATTTGTCCAGGTGTACATTTATAATACATTTTACCTTGCTTAAAACTACTGGATTAATTCTACTACTGATATTGTAGAGATAACACATGTTTATCAAAACAAGCAAATGCGGAGGTCACACAAGTAAATTATTAATCATTTCAGGAAATGCACGAAAAATAGGTTAGCACGAAATTAGGTTACTTGACTGTACTTATTTCCATTAATTATACTGAATTTTACATGAGTTTCATTATAAGACAAATGGTATGATAAGAACAAATTAAAAATATTTTATAGATATTTAATATAATACAAAGATTATCAATATAGAAATATAAAGATATATGTAGAAAAATAAATTAATAAAATTATCACAGTAGAAAAAGTAATTTATTAAATGTAGAATATTTAAGTGCTATCTTTAGAAATTGATCCATAGGCTTGCTCTCTTCATTATAATACCTCTATAATATCTTTTATTTTCACTATTTTTTCTGAAATGGATAAAAAAACACTTACAGATAACATTCTTTAATAGATAAAAAACATACAATATAAAAGGGATTAAAAGAAGTTTTCTAGCCTTTGCATGTGTATGATGAAACTTACAGCTCCTATTTTTGCCTTTCTGCTTTCTAACCGATGTATTTGGTCCCTTCAAGAGGTTGAGGTTTACAGGCTCCTATCTTCTATCTGATAGGTACCCTGACTACCCTCTCACCATAGCGATCACCAGTTGGGAATGGTTGCAACCGATGAAAATAGTCACCAGTGCCAAACACAATTCGCAACTCAGCTGCATGAGAGTTGTGTTCGAAACTTATGACTGTTATTCTTATTCACAACCATGTTTACCTTTTTCTTTTTCCCTTTCTTCTTTTTCTTCTTTAATCCTGAACCAAGTTTAACTATAGCATTAAAGGTTTCACTAGTCATTCTATGTGTAGTTCTTACTTTTACTCCTTTTAGTTTTTCTTCAATAAAATATATTCTAATCATTATTAACAGATACAATATTCTATATTTGGCACTATATATTGCGATTCTGAAGTCTATTTACTAGCCATCATACTTTTTTGAAAAGATATTTTGAGGAACATGATAATTACAACATATACATAATATAATCAAATCACGTTACCGTTTACATGGTATCACAGAAAAAACCTGTGTAAAAATATATATAAACCACTACGCGGATTTATATAGTGTACACAGGTTTCTGTTAATACATGGATAAACTGAAAAATGTTCAGGTCATTCCTTAAATAAATAACATAAGCTCTTCAAACTTAAAAATGTGATTAATATATGTTCTTACCTTCCTTTCTGAATGTGAGACCATCAAGTAACTCTCTACCTCCCATATCACTAATTAAATTATCATCTAAATCTAATTCTTCAATACCTTCACTAAACATCAACAGCCTATATAACAAAAATATACTGTTTTAAAATTCAATAAATTGTTCTTCAAGTTGACACATATATTTTAACATACTGTTTTTTTGATCATATACAGTCATAATTTGTTAATACATCTGTTATACTCCTTTTACCCATGTCTCATTTTGAGAATTTATATAATATATATAAATGAAGTAAATCCTTACTTTTTAAATAATCTCATGCAGATTAGAGGTGCTAATTGTTTGCCTTCTCCCATATAATCAATTCCATTATCAGCCAGATGAAGTTTTTTAATCCAGGGTCCAACAGGGGGAGGGGGTGGGGGTTCTTTCTTTTTCTTTTTCTTTTTACCTATAAATACATCTCTTCAGTAAGAAAGATATTCACACAGTCAATACGGAAATGAAGAGTCCACTATATATGGATTCAGTTTGAAGAAATATTGAAAATAATGCATTTCTACCCGAAACAAATAGACTTCTCTTGTTTATTTTCTAAAAATTTACAAAATTTAATTTTATCCCCTCAATATCAGCAACCAGTAATCAGAATACTTGGTATGGTAATAAGTTTACAATTATTCCATAGGATATCTATGGTTTCGGTAATTTGAGAAACTGTGCAGTTAAAAGCTATTAGTATCCTTTATAGACATGTATGGAAATCTGCTTCATATCAAGTCCATGATTGAAACATTAATAGTCAATATACAGTTGTAATAATATTAATTTGATACATAATACATGTACCTTTCTTTTTTATCTTCTTTTCTTTGTTAACACCACTAGTATACTCTTCATCACTAGTTCCTAGTTTATTATATTTATTCTCTTTCTCTGAATCATATTAACAGAGAGATGTACAGCCAGTTTGGTCACTATATACTGTTTCTAAATCAATATCTTAATCACTTTATACTGCTTACTAATTTCATCATTGCTTGTATAAAGATCCATGAAGTTTTGCATCTAAATGTTTTCCCCATAATAAAAACACTTTTCAAAATAGGAGAAAAATTAATTTCTTAGAAACTATAAAAAATCATAATATCTAACCTTCTTGAGCTATTCTTGCTTCTTCATCAGCTTTCAGCTTAGCAGCTTCAGCTTTTTGAAAGGCTTCAAATTCAGCTTGATCAACACAAACCTTAATTAATTCAACTGTTCCTTCACATTCTAGATTATTACCATCTAGATAGAGTTCTCTGTAGATTGAAAACAATGACTATTTATTTCATGTTAGATCTATCCAATTTCATTTACTCTCTTTGTTTGTAAGGCTTTTAAATTTCAACACAGTTGTTGGAAAATCTATTTTGATCTATCATGATTTTGTAACTACCAATACTGTGATCATTTCATTGTATTGTATTGGATGTTTTAATGCTTTGGACTGAAAGTTACTTTCCTTAGCCAAGTTGAGCGAAAGATAAATGCCAGTACAGTTAGATAAAAATTAACAACTTACTGAACGGTTGTAGTTGAGACAATGTTGCCTAAATATTTACCACTTTCAACACCTAAATCACAATAACACATACTAACAGATGTTATAGTCTTATTACCAATTAAACCATTACATAAATATAAACATCCTTCATCACCAAATCTAAAACATAACATATATGTAAAACATCCTTCATCACCAAATCTAAAACATAACATATATATAAAACATCCTTCATCACCAAATCTAAAACATAACATATATGTAAAACATCCTTCATCACCAAATCTATAACAATACATAAATATAAACATCCTTCATTACCAAATCTAAAACATAACATATATATAAAACATCCTTCATCACCAAATCTATAACATTACATAAATATAAACAACCGCTAAATCTAAAACATTACATAAATATAAACATCCTTCATCACCAAATCTATAACATTACATAAATATTAACAACCATCAAATCTATAACAATACATAAATATAAACATCCACCAAATCTAAAACATTACATAAATATAAACAACCACCAAATCTATAACAATACATAAATATAAACATCCTTTATCACCAAATCTATAACATTACATAAATATAAACATCCTTCATCACCAAATCTAAAACATAACATAAATATAAACATCCTTCATCACCAAATCTAAAATATAACATAAATATAAACATCCTTCATCACCAAATCTAAAACATAACATATATATAAAACATCCTTCATCACCAAATCTAAAACATAACATATATATAAAACATCCTTCATCACCAAATCTATAACAATACATAAATATAAACATCCTTTATTACCAAATCTAAAACATAACATATATATAAAACATCCTTCATCACCAAATCTATAACATTACATAAATAGAAACAACCGCTAAATCTAAAACATTACATAAATATAAACAACCACCAAATCTATAACAATACATAAATATAAACATCCACCAAATCTAAAACATTACATAGATATAAACAACCACCAAATCTAAAACATTACATAAATATAAACAACCACCAAATCTATAACAATACATAAATATAAACATCCTTTATCACCAAATCTATAACATTACATAAATAAAAACATCCTTCATCACCAAATCTAAAACATAACATACATATAAACATCCTTCATCACCAAATCACCATCACCCACTTCGCCAAACAAGCGTTTATTTCCCCATAATGATAACAAGATCCACATTCATTCCTTAAATAAATATAAACATCCTTCATCACCAAATCTAAAACATAACATAAATATAAACATGTAAGAAACAGTGACGTTTCTACTCAAACAAATAAAGCTGCCTGGTTCTCCCCTTCCCCCATCATCCCAGTTTTTAATTCATTTTTATAGAGTTCTTCATGCCTAGTGCTATGAGCTCTTTTGAGCAATACTGTGTCTCCAACTCCACATCATTAACCTAATGATTCATCAAAATGCCAATGGTGAAAAATGTTTAAATACGTACTCATTATAGTCTAGATTCATAATGGTCAGGTAAGCACAGGAACTCAAAACACTGAAATACATGATGATAAAAGTAAAAACTAAACCTATACTGAAATGTATTATATTACAGACAGAGGATTTCTTTACAGAGTATTCAGTATTTTTATTGTCATCAAAGAAAATGAAAATGAATGGAGTTTTATGTCCTACTTTTCTGCACCATGTGGGCTAATGAAGACGGTGTCTTCAAAGGAAACATCATATTTTGTAAGGATGCATTCCAGTCAACAGCCTATGGCACAGTTTATTAATGAAATGTATGTGATAATCTTTATAGACAAAAAATATAGTAAATTCATTAACTCAACATGATTATGATTATCTTTGTGTCAATAAGGTTGCCTGTATGACCATGTAAAATGTTAGTTGATAAATTAAGAAATGGTAGGCCTATATCCATATATTTTGAGTTTACTTTATCATGAAATAATGGTAAGCAGTACCTTGAAAATCTTTTAATAGAATATGTTTCTAATAAACAATCCATCATTTCAATCTGTCTGATGAGATAAACTGGTTTTCCAATTAATAAACACTAAAATAAAAACAAGCTGTATGAGATACTTTTATATCATTTGCAGTACTGGTATTTTAGTACTTGTTTGCAGTAATGCCCCATATTATTTGGCAAGGAGAAAATAATTATTTTTAACAAAAGTATGCTGCTGAATTCAACTGATTTGTTTTGTCTCATTCATGTGTGTAAAAGCAGACATTAAAGGGATTGTAAAAAGTTTTTTTTTTAAAATTTTTTATGTGTATACTGTACACTGACAGCATCAATTTTCACCATTCCAATTTTCAATCTGTCATCTGTGGTTCTTGCAATTCCACTTAAACTAATCACTAATCGTAAAATATGTTGTATCACAAAAGGGCCTCCAGATAAATGACATCATAAAATGCTTAATCTAAATGGAATTGCAGGAACCACAGACATCTGATTGGAAATTGGAATGGTGGAAATTGATGCTATTAGTGTCCCCAATACATATAATTTTTTTTTAGAAAACCTCTTAACAATCCCTTTAATTTTTCTGGTGATATGTGGAGGCCTTGAATAAATTCTTACCAAGGACGCTACATTTTCATAAGACATAGGATAATTCCAAATATAAATATCTTTAACATATACATATCTTTCTGTTCTGATAGCTGTTAATAGTGGTTCCAGTAAAACTTGTACTTCACCATCTCTTTCAGGAGTAATAGGTTCAAATATAAACTGAAGTACGGTAAGAAAAGTGATTGCATATAATAACATGTTTATATAGCATTAAATAGAAATATTCAAAACGATTTGATATTTGAATAGACTTTAAGCCAAATTCGAAGTAATATAAGCTTAATAAAAGAACTCTAAATAATAAATATACTGCACTCTAGTTTGATAAATAACCACACCATACCTTGACAACAAGTTTCAACTCTTCAGAACAAGTCTTTAAAATATGTTTTATTCCAGGACACATTTGAGATTCAGATTGTACACAAAACTTTTCATAAGTTCTTAATAGGCTTTTAACCAATGCCCCAGCATTCTCATCTTTTTTCTTTCCTTTTCTCTTTCCTCTTTTTTAGGCATTTTACAAATTAGATACCAGTCACTTACATTCACAAACAATACTTTATTATGTTTTTATTTTTATCAGGATAAATGGTTGAAACTGCTCATTAACTATAAATGAGAAAATCAAAATTAATTCCAGATATGTTTTATATCTAAATAGAACACTGTGTATGATGGTATTTACATTTAAATTGAGTGTTTAGATGCACCCTTTTTTTAATTATGGTGTGTGCTTGACTTCAAATGAAACATTTTAAAGATTTATCATTATTGATCGTAACATGAACCGAGTGACAACCATCGGCAGTCTATATATATCTCATTTATGGCTGATGAAAAGCTAATTCCCATGCTATACTGAATAAAATCACTCACTTTTTGCAAAACTTCTTATTTGTTGTCATCTGTTGATAGCAATACCATTTAAATCTCCTTTCATCGAGTTTTAGATAAGGGAGGTAATTTACAAGGTTTCGTCGATTTCAGTCCACATCAAATTATATATCTCTCTGTCTCTCTATATACGACACTGCCTCCTACTTTACTTTAATCATGACATAAAATAAGGCAATATGCACAATAAGGGCATTAATGTAGGTTACGGGGGGCAAGATTAAAAAAAAAAACAACATGTTTTGTTGTATGGTCTGTAATGGCTTTTTATGTTCTATAGTTGGAAAAATATTTTTCGTTTTCAACATAAAACCAATTTGGTTTAATATTCCTCGGCCCTATACAACACCAGCCAATGATTCAGAACCGAGCTTTAGAGCACTACTACTTTCGAATTGAAATGATGGACAATATGACTGTGATCTATAGGCCTATTCTGATTGCCTTCGTGTGTACTGTTTTCAACAAAACATATCCCCCATAAATCTAGAACGCAAAAATATCCCTTACCTAAGCTCCCTTTTTTACGATCTGCTGAACCAATATATATGAAATAGGGGCCTAGGCCTAATCCACAATAATCTCAAAATCCAGAATTTTTTTGTTTAAAATTGATAATATGATCTTTTGGTTCAGATTGTCTCGACGTTTGAGACCAACTAATACACCATCAATGTCAACCCGGTCGATTTAAACTCAGTTTAGAAAAACGCAACTGGAATCATGGAATCAAGGACAAGTCAAAACATACTTAACATGTTTAGGGAAAGATATTCTTAACCTTTCTTTCATATTGAAAAATTTGTGCTGATCAGATCAGTCATTGATTAAATTACAGTTCTATGATAACCGTATACTATACACTGGAATTACTATATAATGCATGCAGTATGTGTAACATTTTTATTACAAAAACTTTATAACATTCATTCATTAGGCTCTACATAAATCACATTGCCTTACTGAAGGAGATAAAGGAAAAGTAAATGAGTTAAATTAAAAAATAGTGGAAATATATTAAAAAGGTCAGAAGACAAAATTACACGCGGAAGACAAAATCTCCACAGTCGGTAGGTTTACTTTACGCTATACATCTGCATTAATCTACGTACCAATTTACTGAATTGTGTATCTCTTGCCTAAACCATCATGTTAGCATTAACACAGTAACTGGAAGCACATTTAATTTACATGGAAGGCATAAATGATATAACTAGACAAGCAAGTTCCTTATTTCGTTAGTTTTTATAAAGTAATAAATTTCATGTCATGTAAATCTCTGACAATTAAAGCGTGTCCTTAAATACACAAAAGAGGCCTCCAAAATAAAATTATTACTGTTTTTTTTTTGCTTCACTCCCCACCCACCTAATGCCCGCATTGATGTAAGAGAAGCTCGGAAATAGTTATAAGCAAGGGTAGAGGCCGCCACTCCTTTCACTGTGAGGTTTAAAAATCTTTTCCTTCCTCTTTTTCTCCCCCATCTTCATCATCAAAATCATCAGCACCGACTTCTTCATAATCTTTCTCTAGAGCAGCTAAATCTTCTCTAGCTTCAGAGAATTCACCTTCTTCCATACCTTCACCAACATACCAATGTACAAAAGCTCTTTTGGCGTACATCAAATCAAATTTATGATCAAGGCGAGCCCAAGCTTCGGCTACAGCTGTGGTATTGCTCAACATACAAACTGCTCTAGTTACTTTGGCAAGATCTCCTCCAGGTACTATTGTTGGTGGTTGATAGTTAATACCAACTTTAAATCCAGTTGGACACCAATCTACGAATTGGATAGTCTTCTTCGTTTTTATGGCACCAATAGCAGCATTGATATCCTTTGGAACAATATCTCCACGATACAATAAACAGCACGCCATGTATTTTCCCTTTCTTGGATCACATTTGACCATCTGATTGGCAGGGTCAAAACAGGCACTAGTTAGATCAGCAACTGAATGTTGTTCGTGGTGTGCCTTTTCAGCAGAGATAATTGGTGCATAGGTAGCTAATGGAAAGTGAATGCGTGGATAAGGTACCAAATTTGTCTGAAACTCAGTTAGATCAACATTTAAAGCACCGTCAAATCTCAAAGAAGCTGTTATAGAACTGACAATTTGACCTATCAATCGATTAAGATTGGTGTAGGTCGGTCGTCCAATATCTAAATTGCGTTTGCAGAGATCATAGATGGCTTCGTTATCAACCATAAATGCTACATCTGAGTGCTCCAAGGTTGTATGTGTAGCCAGGATGGAGTTGTAAGGTTCAACCACTGCTGTTGAAATTAGCGGTGAAGGATAGATGGAGAATTCCAGTTTAGATTTCTTGCCATAATCAACACTTAGCCTCTCTAGTAAAAGAGAGGTAAAACCAGATCCGGTACCTCCACCAAAACTATGGAAAATTAGAAATCCTTGAAGACCAGTGCATTGATCTGCTAACTTCCTGATCTTCTCCAATACCACATCAATAATTTCTTTACCAACAGTATAATGACCTCTGGCATAGTTATTAGCAGCATCTTCTTTACCAGTGATGAGTTGTTCTGGATGAAACAGACGTCGGTAAGTTCCAGTTCGAATTTCATCTGAAATGACACACGAAAATCCGTTAGAGGATTTTGGAAAAAACATGATACGTCAGTTTGTTTCAAATTTCATCTTTCATGTCTTTCCATATTAGGAGCTATATAGGAAAATGTTAACGTAGAATTCAACTGTGCTATACTCTTATCAAACCATATTTCCTGATGTATATATTCAGCACACTGTCGCAGGGATAAATTTGACATGCAGTATGCATCAAGTAATATTTTAAAATACATATCAATTTACCTACTACAGTTGGTTCCAGATCACAGAAAATAGCTCTTGGAACATGTTTGCCATTCTGGGTTTCACTGAAGAAAGTGTTGAAGGAATCATCTCCACCTCCAATAGTTTTATCAGAAGGCATCTGTCCATCGGGATGTATTCCATGCTCTAAACAGTACAACTCCCAACACGAGTTTCCCATCTGACATCCTGCTTGTCCTAAATGAATATTGATGCACTCTCTCTGAAAAATGTAAGTATGAATATCAAAGTCGGAGTAAAGAGGGTTTTAACATCTTTTATGTATAGATGAAACCTAGGTTGCCATATTGGAGATATCTCAAATTCCAAAATAACCATACTTGGACTTATCATCTAATTCAAGGAAACACATCTCATGCCATTTGGAAAGCACTATTGTGGTTTTAGTCAACAGTCATAGGCCATAAAACGTGAAAAGAGTGAATATATATATATGGAAATATCATTATTAATAAACAGTGCAATCAATACAATCTGTTACTAATTGAATATCTCACAATTTGTATATTATAGAAATTCAACAAATATTCTATAACCTGATTCATCGTTCAGTTATGTTACATTTTTTAACTCCGCTATTGATTAAAACTTAACAGGTTTCTCTGTGCAACTATATTTTCTATGGCACAATTGAATGAATAATTTTGTGGCAATCCCATTTTTGTCACATTTCAGCTAAATTACCACTTGCTCTTCGTTGTGTAGCATTTTGCTGTTGATATGGGTTAAATTAGTTCCTGATCCTCTAGTGTGATCTTAACAACTTTTACCCAATGAAAATAGCTTATAAAGGCCTTCATTGTGATTTATGGTTTTCCACGGTAGACTTCATAAGCTATAGTATGCCAATTTAACTTTTCTGATTGTTATTTCTCTGTAAACTAACAACATTCATTAGCTGTGACCGCTATAAAGTTTCTTGATATGCCTGGGCCTTCAGCTATTGTATTTTTACTTTGAGGCATATACATCTGCTGCTTCCAGTGTCGATCTGTCGGCAATATTAGTAGCCTAATTATTTTGTTGCATTGGACTTTATTAGCATTTATTTATATATTTATTCCGGCATTGTAGGGTTATTATATCAAACGTCACTTTGGTTTACATTTTTAGTTTACACTAAATTTGATAATGGTATATTGGGTCCTTGTATTATAATTATTCTCAGTCTGTCCCGATCTTGTTGCTATTTCTGATGCCCCAGGGAGTATGAAAACAGAACTCACAATGCAATGACAGGTATATTTCAGTGGCAAAATGCGAGCTAATAGAAACAGTGCGCACATAATCACTGAAGAAATGACGACCCCATCATTGAGCTCACTGTGATTGTTAGTATGCAGAATATTCTGTTTTGGTTGATATTTAATCTCGGTTCTCCATACAATTAATATGCTCATACAGATCCATTTCTATAAGCTTTTGTCATTTTTCTACATTCAACGATGCCTTTATACAGAAAATTAAAAATGGTGTCACGCAGGCTGACACAGACTAGCTTATAAAGTATCTGAAAGGCAGAAGAAATCATTTCTTATTCAAAGTCAAAAATAGAATTTAATATAGCTTACCATTTTTCAAATAATTTCTGTATTCTAAAGTCCCTTTTAGGTTATTGTATAAACGGAATGGTGGAATCTCACTGTAGACTAGCGAACGTGGCCGAGTGAGAGGAATTCTATGACTATTGAATAAAACAACTGAATATAAACGTAGCCTGCCACATGTGTCAGTTAATGACTCAAGTCTTCAACATTATATTGATTTAGAAATTATACTGAGTATACCAATTTATTAAAATGCGTATATTGGCCTTTTGTTTGAAATATTTGCAATATATATCAATAATATACAGAGAAATAGCTAGTCATCGGATTATATTAGCACATTTAGATTAGAATTAATTAGACAATTATATAAAAATAGCATAAAAGATAACTCCAGCTAGGTGGTTGGAGATTATTTTTGATTAAGACTTCGGTCGTTGCAATGATAAAAATAAAAAAAACTACGAGTAATATTATATGGGGTTGTCATGAGTAAAAGTTGTAGTATAGAACATCGTGGAATTGATATTAGTGATGTCTGTGACTAAATTATGGTCAGGGTGATATGACATTATTACAATCGATAAGTCTTGAGTCTGGATCACATCTCATCTCAAATTTGTCTACTATTTCGGAAGCTCTAGCGTCATAAAAACAATGTTAATAGATCCAAGTTTAGAGGATTTGGCCTTTAAAATTTCATTGATTAGGCTCAGTATTTAATGTAGACTTAGCACTAAAACTGTTGATATATATATATATATATATATATATAAACGACCTAGACCTTTTGAATATGCTTATAAATATTAAACAAAAACGTAATCTTTTGTATGGAAACAGGGAGCGGGGGTGGGAGCGGGGGTGGGGGTGCAAAAATCTCCACTAATTGTTTAAATATGATTTTGCGATGCAGGTCATGATTATGCTGTCATATGGATAGTCATCTGCAATTCTAGCCTATTATAGGCATTGCATTTAATGGTGATACTTTTGAAGGAGGTGTGGTAATTATTTCCCCCTTCTGCCTTTGACCTTACCCAATTTTTCGGACGTGATATACTGATCGGTCAAGGTGATTTTTAGAGCTGCGTTTAGAGAACATTTTAATTCTTATAATTAATCCTTCACATAAATATCAGAGTAATGTTATGTGGTAAATTAATTTACCAGATTTGTTTAGCCTTATACGATCGACCAAAAAACATTATTACTTTATTACTTCTAGTTTAGGGGCATTTCTTGCGTCATAACCTTAGAAAAAATAGCGACTATTTACTTTTGTTCTGAAGTAGGCTAATATTGTGTTTATCAACCCTTTTAAAAGAACTCTTTAAACTGAAGACCAATTTGGTTTAAATAATCTCACTTCACTAGATAAAAAAATTGCATATTTGTTTTTCCAGGCTGCTTTTGAAACAGAGATTAACTCTTGACAATAACGACTAATAGTATGATGTTCAGTAACAGTCTAGTGATGCAAGACTAACAAATGATAATAAAAGTGAAAGTAAGGCAACTGGTGTCCTTTGAAAACAAGAAATGATATTTAAAATAAAGATGTATATAGAAGGCAACAGAAACTGAGTAATTCTTTATAAAACTAGCCTAATGCAACATTTTTTTAACTGATTTAACTGTTTCTCCATAATCGGCATCTTAGAATTCTTGTCATCATGATGTCATGTCGTATCAATGTCAATGACTCTTGCCTTATTATCCATGAATAATGTTTAAAATAGTATACTTTTCTTATAATAATGTCAAGAACCATCCCCCAATAAGGTTACTACACTAAGCATTTTCATTGCATTATTGATATTTTTTCAATTGGCAGGAGATTATAGCCTACCACCTCTGTCCTCTGGCAAATTAGAATAGTGGTCCATAACTGGGATAAGCTTATTTCCTCCAATTACAATAAGATATCAATAGTGTGCGGTATAAATCGTTTTTATTACAATGGAGGCAGACCAAATATATTAACTAAACGAAATTGTGATATAAATTTAATTCCATTAAAATTTCCTGAAATAAATAGAGCCTACAATGTTTTTAAAAAAAATTAATATTCAGATGTATAATGTTTTATTTATCTAGGGTTAGATCCAGATCTAGATCATAATAGATAGAACATGACTGATGCGGGTGAACTTTCCTCATATTTACATCAAATAGATAATTTAACATCACAAACATCAGAACAATATGATCAAATAAAAGGTATATGAGGCTTAAATATCTCTTTCACATGGGTTCAATTATGGTTGTGTCATATGTTGATTTAGGGTTGTATAGTCTTAAGTAAGGAGATGGACAACATCGGGTCAAGTTAGGGTTGTATGATATAGTGTCAAGTTATGGATGTATGATATAGCATCAAGTTAGGGTTGTATGATATAGCCTCAAGTTAGGGTTGTATGATATAGCGTCAATTTAGGGTTGTATGATATAGTGCCCCCT